GAACAACGGACCTAGATCCCGCTCAATCATATCCGGTAAGAGCTTCCCGAACCCATCACTCTTATCATCAAGGTAAAACATGTGCCCAGGTCGATCAAACGGCTCCAGGAAGCTGCCAGAAGATGAGCGCATGCCTATCCAAATCTTCCCAGCGAAGGATCCGCCGAGCGATGGTTCACCTTCAAAGACTACGGGCCACCATAGGTAAGTGGGATACGAAGCTAAAAATGCTCCTATGGCCCATTAATGCCCAAGAGTTCGAAGGCTGGCCCACTAGTGGATGAACGGCCGCTCTAGGGCACCCTAGAGTGAGGGGAGGTTAAGGACGGGCCAGCTAGCGGCCAATAACCAAAGCGCATGGAGTGCTTCGGGCGTCCCAACCCTCGTTTCGAGTCTTGGACGATGCAGGGTCCATGGTTTTTCCCAAAGAAAGGCATCGAGCCCTCGGACCGGTTGAACAGATCCGGGACCTATATGGACCGGCCACCAAGAATCCGGAGTCAGTCACCAGCTGACCTCAAACTGGGCCCCCATGAAGCGGATGTCGGGGCTCCACTCGAACAAGCACGTTAACAACTCACCGAGCACTGTGCTCTGTCCAGCGAGGAAAGCATGGCATGGCTCAGCCCCTTCGTTCTAGCGAATGGACGCATGAGGGACGACAATCGCAAGACGAACTGACCCCCCGGCCGGACCACTGCTACACGCGGGGGCTCGGGGGCTCAGCATCGCAAAGAGACCGAATACACGGTCGTAGATAGACGACGAGTCACCTCTGGCTGTGGAAACTGAGGGCGGGGTAACGCATGAAACACGGCCGACCCCTACCGAGCCTCACAAGGCTCGGGGGTTCGAGCCACCCGACCCTAAATCAGGAGACCAGGGTTCGAAGGCCGACCCACGGAGGGTCCGAGGCCGCCTCACATCAAACAAGATCAGGGGGGCAAACACAGATGAGCTCCAGCGGCCTTGGCCCAACCCGCCTAGAAGCGGATAGGGTCATCTCAACCTTCTCGTTCGATCCTAGCTCCTAGCCGAGCCCATAGAATCCCCATTGAGGGGGCATCTGTTGGAAGGTGGGTTAAGGAGCAGTGGAACATCACAATAAGGCTCTGCCAAGCCCGTCGCGAACAACGGATCCAGATTCCACTTGAACATACCCGTTAGCGAGCTCACCGAACGCATCACTCGATCCATCGAGGCAAGTAACATTAGCTCAACCCCCACGATTGAGAAAACCACGGATGGGGCAACAATCACAAAGTTAAGCCGACCCTTGATCGAACCCCCGCTACGTGAGGGGGTTCGAAGAAAGTTGGACTCGCAAGGAGACCGAACGCGCGGTCATGGAACGACAGCTCGAATCCTAGGTAGGGGGATACGTATGAAAACAAGAGACGTTTTCTCCTACTAATCTCGCTATCCTATCCATGATCTTTAGTGACACCTGACCCCAACAACAGCCTATTAAAAATTTCTACAACAACACTTAACAAACCGGTTAGACAATTATGAGGCGAAGCAAGTGTTGCGCTAGCCTACTAAAAATGCAAGCCACCTACCACAATTCTAGTTTCTATAGTTTCTAACCACACAATGGATATCACTATACTAAGTTAGTGTGCTCTCAAAGGCTAACTAAAGAGCCACACTAACCAAACTAACAAGCTCTCACAACTAGCTACACTAAAGAGCTTGATAACTAGTTTGCGGTAATGTAAAGAGAGTGAGCGAGATGGTTATACCGCCGAGTTGAGGAGTGAACCAATCAATCACAAGAATAAATACCAATGAAGACCAATCACCTCGGAATCAAATGATGACAATAATTTTTTACCGAGGTTCACTTGCTTGCCGACAAGCTAGTCCTCGTTGTGGCGATTCACTCACTTGGAGGTTCACGCGCAAATTGACATCACACGCCAAACCCTCAATAGGGTACCGCACAACCAACATAAGATGAGGATCACACAAGCCATGAACAATTCACTAGAGTACCTTTTGGCTCTCTGCCGGGGAAAGATCAAGAACCTCTCACAATCACCAAGATCGGAGCCGAAGATAATCACCAACCTCCGCTCGCTGATCCTCGCTGCTCCAAGCCGTCTAGGTGGCGGCAACCACCAAGTGTAACAAGCGAATCCCAGAGCAAAACACGAACACCAAGTGCCTCTAGATGCAAACACTCAAGCAATGCACTTGGATTCTCTCCCAATCTCACAAAGATGTTGAATCTATGATGGAGATGAGTGAGAGGGCTTTGGCTAACCTCACAATGTTGCTATGTCAATGCAAATGCCCAAGAGAATGAGCTTGAGCTGGCCATGGGGCTTAAATAGAAGCCCCCATGAAATAGAGCCGTTGTACCCCTTCACTGGGCACTGCTTGGGGTGACCGTCTGCGCCGGTCATATCGACCGGACGCAGGACCTCAGCGTCCGGTCGCCTAAAGCTTGCCACGTGTCATCGGCTTTGAACGCTAATCGACCGATCTCAATGGTCATCAGTACATTTAAGTAGTGACTGGACGCGCTGCTCAAAGTGACCAGATGCACCAACACCAGCATCTGGTCGTATGCAGTAAGGTTCCAGAGGCGAAAAATCACGATCGTACGCGTCCGGTCATACCTGACCGGACTCACCCAGCGTCCGATCACTCAACGTCTCCTCTGTGCGCCGCCACATTAGTGGGACCGGACGCACACCTCCTGCGTCTGGTCATGAAGTGACCCAGCATCTGGTCGAAGACCGATGCCAGCGTCTCCACTGCTTCCACTGACCAGACGCGCCAGTCTAGTTGAGGCCGTTTCTAGTCCACTCTTTGAAACCCTATCTTTTCTGTTCAGGGCGCCGGTGGCACTATCGGGCTATCCGCACTCTACAGGCGGACACTCAATCGGTGAAGTTTCTTACCTTTGCTCAAATGTGCCAACCACCAAGTGTATCACCTTGTGTACATGTGTGTTAGCATATTTTCACAATCATTTTCAAGGGTGTTAGCACTCCACAAATCATAAATGCATATGCAATGAGTTAGAGCATCTAGTGGCACTTTGATAACCGTATTTTTATACGAGTTTCACCCCTCTTAATAGTATGACTATCGAACCTAAATGTGATCACACTCACTAAATGTCTCGATCACCAAAACAAAATGGCTCCTACCACTTATACATTCGCCTTGAGCCTTTTGTTTTTCTCTTTCTTCTTTTCATGTCCAAGCATTTGATCATCACCATGCCATCACCATCATCATGATCTTCACTAGTGCTTCATCACTTAGAGTAGTGCTACCTATCTCATAATCACTTTAATAAACTAGGTTAGCACTTAGGGTTTTTCATTAATTCACCAAAACTAAACTAGAGCTTTCAATCTCCCCGCGCAGCCATGCCTCCTCAACGAGGCGGTCCTAGGTTCCCTTCTGCTCACGAAGGAACCAGGATTTCTCCTAGCGGTGAGCTATAAGGGACTAAAAAAAGATGATGGTCAGAACACAAAAATACATGAAGAAAGAAGAGGGCGAGTGGCGAGCAAGATCAAGTGAATACCTGGTCAGTGGGAACGATGACTTCGCGTAGGGCGCCCCTGGCATGGTTCAAGGCTTCCAGCATGGCCGCAATCCCCTTGTCGAGACTCTCCCGCTCTATGCTCTTAGCGGCATCGTCGAGGGTGAAGAGTGTCGACGTCGGGTCTTGTGGATTTGTCCACCGGAGCAGGGGGTCGTCCCACGCGGGCGAGTGGCTGCCCCGACGTCAGGGCCATCGGACGATTCCGCGCCGGTCCTCTCTGCCACCACCACGACATCTGGGGACCCCTCGGCCGTGTCCCCCTCCATCCGGCCAACGTCGGACACTGTCACTTGGAACGCCGGTAGCATGGGTCATGCCGCTGCCTCGGGCACCGACATGGCTGCATCCGACTGTGTCCCACCTATCACTACCACTGCCACCTTCGCCTGCATTGGTGGGGCCTCGACTGGCGGCGGTGTGCCGACCACGGTCGGCGCCATAAGCACGGCCGGTAGCTCCGTCCGCCCCATCGTCGGCAGCGGTATCACCTCCATCAGTAGTTGCTCAGCGACCTCCGAGGGCGTCCCTCAAGCCCCAGTGCTCGCTTGTCCTGCCAAGGGCACGGGCACCACTGTGGGTGGCGCATGACCAGTCGGCGAGGCAGTCGCACCGACGTCGCTCCCGCCCAAAACGGGTGCCACATCAACCGATGGTTGTCGCCCTGATCGGAGGGCGACGCTCTTCTTTGGCGCCAACACCGAAAGATTACGCTGCCTCAAGACGCTGCAAGAAAGAAAAGCACGAGTCACGATGAAAACAGAGAAAAACAAAGAAAAACAGAGGAGTTGGTGACTTACATTGGCGTTGTTAGGCAACGGAGACGTTTGGGGGGCGAACCCCTAGATCCCTGCTCCACCTCGTCGGGGCGGGGCCATTTCGAGCTGGCCCCTGCTCCCAGGCAGAGGGGCTCACCCCCCTTGCATCTTGGGGCATGACGGCGGGGCCACGCTCCTCCACTGGCACCTCGGGCGCGGTGGTAGGCTCGCTCACTCCTGTTGGCTCCCGGGGCAGGCCGACGGTCCGGCCCATCTCCGCCGGCCTCTCGGACGCGCCCTCCCCTCCATGGAACGGGAAGGGCCTCGACCCCTAGAAGCACGAGCGGATACCTATTAGCACATCCTCGCTCTCCAGGTCATCACGCTCGGTGTCGTTATAGTTGTTCATGCAGCCCGATGCACGACGGCACGGCACGAAGCCCATTTTTTAGCCCGACACGAGCATGGCCTGGCCCAAGAGAGCAGGCCATGCCTGGGCCGTTGCTCACGCCCGGGGGGCTGGCACGGCATGGCCCGGTCCATAGAGCGTGGCCCGGTAGCGGCCCGGCCAGCCGGCCTGCTAAGCCAGCCTGCTAAGCCTAGTGCCCCACCGGCCCACTCTAGAACCCTAACTCCCTTCATGACCTCACCCACCCCAACTGACACTGCTGAAGATGCTCACCGCACAGTCTCAGACTGTGTTGGAGGCCTACCGCCATGACCTCACCGAGTTCGACACCGGCCTACGCCGTGAGACCGAGGTGCTCTGCGAGGCCGCCGCCTGGGCTGCGTGGGACCTACCATCCTCCGCGCACGCGCTCGACGGGCTCACCGACATCGTCGCGCAAGGCAAGGAGGCGCTCTCCCAGGCCACCGCCGCCGCTTCCACCGGGTCCCAGGCCTCTGACGGCGGTGATTTTGACCCTATCTCCACGTCTAGGGCCCACATCCGGTACAACCGCTTCTAGGTGCAGCTGCGCGTGCTCTAGGCGAATCCGGCCATGTTCGCGCGCTCCAGGTGGATCCGACAGCGCTCCAGGCGGATCCACCCCAACTGACACTCGACGAGATGCAAGGACACGACGTTGGTGCTGATGTCAAGCGGTGAGATGTGGGAGTACCCGTGCCCGACGACGACCGTGCGGGTGCTGGAGGACGCCTCCGCCCCCACCGACGACGAAAGCGACGAGTTCCTGTGCGACGTGGATGGCATGGGGATCGAGGGCGCGATGCCCATGGTGCAGGATCCGGAGGCGCTCGATGCGGGGCAGATCTACTTCATGCTGCCTGCCGCCGCCGCCGCCTGCAGCACGAGGAGGTCGCCGCGCTCGCTGTCAGGGCCTCCGTCGCGCTCTCCTCCCAGGCCGCCTCGGCCACAGCGCCCGGCCTACCCTCTCTCTCTTTCCCTGCAGATGTGGGCCTTGGGCCGGCTGGCCTGTTAAAAAGGCCGCGCTTTCCGGGCTAGCCCGGCATGGAAAGTGGCTCGACGGGCCGTGCCTGGGCCACCGACTGGGCACGGTGGGCAAGGGCGGCATGGCCCGGTGGCCCGTCGTGCTCTACCGGGCCATGCCTGGCACGGGCCCGGGTGGCCCGAATGGACATCTTTAGGTGTTGTCGACTACCTCATCGTCATCATCATCGCTGTCAGTGTCCTCCCCTCACTCCCACGCCCTACAATTTCTGCTGCCTTTTCTTCCTCTCGTCTTCCTTCGCCTTCGTCTGCCGCTCGACCTCGGCGTGATTCGCCGCCCTCACGGACGGATCCCTCGACAGCGGAGCCGGGAGATCCATAAGGACGAGGTCCCTCGGCTGGTCCCCCTATCTCAATGTTAGTGTCAAGGGGTCGGGAGATCAATTGAAGATGACGCATGAGGAAAGGAAACTTACGAAGACGATGTAGCCCAGTTCTGGCCGCATCGGAGGGTGCCCCGGCACCGGGTACACAAAATCAAGAGGGACGCCTGCGTCATCCCGAGAAGGCTCCATCGCCTCCTTGATGCGCTGCACGACTTCAAAGGGGGAGAACGCTCCCTCGGCCAGCACCGTCCCGACGAATGACGCCTCGGGCGCCATCGCATATAGTGGAAGCACGCGCCTCATCAACGGCGCCACCCTCCTCGCATGGTAGGCCCCGATGATGCTTGACCCCTTCAGGTCCCTCTCCTTTAGGATGCGGATGGTGGCAAGGTGGTCCTAGATCTTCTTCTTATCCTTCTCAAGGACACCCCACTTCCACAAATCCAGGGCCTCTTCGATTAGGCGCCCTGTGGCAGAACCTCCTAAATTATAAGGCCCACATGCATCTGTCACTGTCCGACGACCTCTGACAACTATGCATATGTTCCTGGTAACTTAAGAAGACTGTCGGGTGTCCTCGGGGAACCCCGAATAATCCACGATTTCCTAGCAGGATCACATTACAGAGTCATTGCAGTATTACAACATTTATTCAAATATCTACACCAGAGTAAAACAACAGAAGTCTTACAATAACTTAGTTTACAAAATAGTAGTTTTAAACCTTACAACTAAGTTCGATAATTATTACAAACCAAAGTAGTAGAGTGGCATTATAGCATAATACAAACACACAAATAGATTGCCCTGCCCAAGGGCCACACATTTACTTATCATCATCGCATTGAACAACAGTCATGCAGCACGGTCCAAAGCAGACCTGCTCATGAGCCTCACCTGCAACAAGGGTCAATGAACCCTGAGTACAAAAGTACTCAACAAGACTTAACCGAAATAAAATTGATAGAACTCAGGAATGCTGGCTCAGGGATTCAAGGTATGGCTTTAGCAAAAATCAAAGTTCTTTTGCGTAAAAGCTCTTTAACAAAATTCTTTATATCAACATTTAAAAACTTCATAAGATCATATACAAAGCTGACACGATCTGTATTGAGATCATGAAACTTCATATCCAACACCTTCTCAAACCATCCTCAAATTCTAGTTATTTAAACTACGATGATGAACAGTGAGTTGAGTCTCCACAACCGAGGAGCAACGACGATTCGAACCGATTAAACCCAGCTAGGAATTTCAGACCACACAACATATGCAGGTCCCTGACCTACATATACCAACCTACCCTCAGATCCTCTAAAACAAGAATGGGTCCGCGCCACCCGAGAATACAATACTCCACCAATCTAGCCCGTTGCCATGTGGGTACACGTTATTCCCGCCATCTCTCCACTCTCAGTCCGCGAGTAGCCATTCTCGTAATAGAATAGCCAAGTTAAGGCTTACCGGAGTATGTGGTTAGTACTACAAACTCTCACCTCATGCAATTCAACAACGGACGGACCTTAATCAACACAGGCGAAAAGAACCCGCTCACAAGACCTCCATGTCTTGTGGCTCTCACACACCGAGTCCGCCCGGTCTAGATTTATTACTCCATATTCCCATATCACATGATAACATAAGTAACCAAAGTTCCATTTAAAACTTGCAGATGACAGGTAATCACCCGACTTTCATCGTTCTAAGCATAGCTAAGCATAACTAGGTATATACAAATTAAAACTGGTAACAGGGTAGATATGAAAAAACAAGGTTGGTAATGCACCAATTAGGTTTTCACTTAACTCCTAATCACTTAATACAGTAAAGAAAAGCAAAAGCGAAATCAATTTGTAAAACACAAGGTACGTTTAAATGCATCCGGGGCTTGCCTTCGTTGACGGAAAAGTTAGGTTCCGGAGTCGTTCCACAATTATCAAACCCGACCTCAACAGGCGGATTAACTTCTTCCACAACTTGATTAACTACCACGTGCTCACCTTCGTTCACTACACGTAGTAACAATGCCATGTTTAACATGATGCGAGATATAAAACATGATGCTCGATGATGGATGCAAAATTAACAACTTAAATACAATTTTCCTTCGCGGTACAGTTACAAGTCAAACTAACTAAACCTTTTTCGTAACACTTAATTCAATTGCCAATGATCATTACCAACCAATGACCCAAGGTCATCACTCAATCCAAAATTCAAACCAATCCTAAATCATCAAAGGTTACTATTTGCTTTTATGAATTAATTATTTAATTAATAATTATGAAATAAATCAACTTGTTCCAATTGAGTCCAAAATTTTTGTAAATGTTCATCTCATGATAACTAAGTGGCAAAACAATTTTCATAATTTTTGGATAAATAAATAAGCCTAGAAAATTCATGGAAACTCATTTATTGATTAATTGAGAAATTTTTATCACATTAAAAAAATACTAAAAATCAACATTTCATATTTTTCCTAAATAATATACATCACAGAGAAGTCACACAAAAATTTTCATAATTTTCGGATCTCTAAATAAATCTACACAAAAATAACAAAAACATACACTATTCATTCATCTCCGAAAAAGGAAAAAATTCATTTTCAAACCGCTGAGTCACTGACAGCCCATCCCCACCTGTCATCCCCAACCTACAGCGCTGACTACGGCGATGACGCGCTGACCGGCAAAATCTCACCGACGGCGAGGTCTCCGGCCATGGCGAAGGTACCAAAACACTCCCCACACCATCCCGCATCGATTGAAGGCACTAGTTTGAGCAATTACAGCGAGGCACGAGCTTGACGCCGTCCATGGCAGACACGGTGACACGGCTGTGCTACGCCGATGACGTGAGACCGGTAACAGTTAATCTAAGCGCTTGGAAAGGATCAGTAGCTCACCCCGAACGCGATGGAGCAAAGAGCGAGGTCAGAGGATCAACGGAGATGCTGGTCGACGGTCACAGCGGCCACGGCGGTGCGAGCAACGGCGACGGTGGTGCTTCGGTGACTGCGGTGGACAAAAGGAGCAATCAACTGGTCATAGAGCATCACGGGAACAAGGCGAAGCTAGAGGTACACTGAGCAAGAGCAACGGCTCACCGGAGAGCGCTGGCCATGACGGCGCAAGCACGACGGTGAGGTTGCCGGCCGCGAGGAAGAAAGGCACGCACAGCGGGTTCCCAGCGGAATCAGGCACCAAGACTCGGTTGGCTAGGTGCGCAAGGAGTAGGCGAAGCTGGAATAGGCTTTGTCGAGACGGTGGAGGCACTACGGCGACGGCAAACGCACGATGGAGCAGCGGCGATGGCTACTGGAAATAGAGGAGAGAGCGGCGAAAAACGGCGACAGTGAAGTCATTATAGAGCGGCTCAGAAGCAAGGAGAAGCCACGCAGGGACCTTTCCCACGCCAGCGTGAAGCCAAGGATGGCCACGCGCGCGCATGGAACCGAGAAGAAGGCCGCCGGCGATGAGGTGGCTCTACTGTTCCCCATATTTATAGAATTGTCATTCGCCAAAATCTTCAAATTACTCCGAAATTTATGTTACAACTCAAAAATCTTCAAAAATAAAAGTTGCTCAAAATTTAAGGTTCTACAACTTTGCTTTTATAACCACCCCCTAATTCGGTCTACATTTTGAAATGCAATTTTGAATTAAAAAATGGGACATTTAAAGAATTACGCCTTTTCAAATTACTTCAAATTTTTCTAAACAACTTTAAAAACTCCAAAAACCAACTTTGTACAACACGACAAGCTCTACACTTTTGCTTTAAGGCTCAACCCCAAAATGTATTTTGATTTTAAATTAGTTTTTTCAGGGTAAAACAAATCACTGGAAATCAGGGTTTTTGAAATCCAAATCAACACAATTGTTTTGAAATTGATTCAACCATACAAGGCAACACATATAACATAAATGTAAACTTGTTTTAATGTATGCATATCAAAGTTTTCACTAATACGAAATGATGTACAATGCATATGATGACATGGCAGGTTTTAGTATTTAAAACACCCGCAGTGTCGTTCTTGAGATAGAACCAATGCGAATGTCACCCTTTGTCGGAGGTCGACAGCCGTATCGACGGGTACTCACCGACCCGGTTGTTTCGGACGTGGATGCCGGCGCATCCCATCGGCGTATTTAGCTCCTGCTTCTTCTCCCTCTTCTTCTGGAGGGTAACGGCGAAGAAATGCCGTCACAGATCAAAGTGGGGAATAATCCATAGGAATCCCTCACACAGGGAGACGAACGTCGCCATGTGCTGGATTCTATTGGAATTGAGGTGCTGCAGCTCAATTTTGTAGTAGTGCAGCAGCCCCCGAAGAAATCCATGAGCAGGGGTAGCGAACCCGCGCTCATGGAAGTGCATGAACAACACCACGTAGCGGTGGGTGGCAACGTTACGTCCTCCTCATCGGGCAGCAGCCACTCGTCCATGGTCCGCGAGTAGAGAAGACCGCGATGGACGAGGCCCTCCATACGCTGGAACGTGATGTCAGAGCGGCACCACGGGTCCATTGGAAGATGGGGGCGAGTGAACGTGAGCTCGACGACGGCTGGGACGCGGATGTAGGAAGCCTGGGCGACTGGAGGCGGAGGTTGCAGATGTGAAGGCAAGATATGAAACCCTGGGGGTGAACCCTTTGGTTTTATAGGGATGACGGATGCGAGAAAACCAACCATCCACCTAGATCTCCGCATCCGCCACGATCTACTATAACGTCATGCCATGGGATATGCGCACGCAATCCCTATCCTTTCCCTTGGAAGACACGCCGGACGTTTTTCCTCCCCGGACGGGCCATGAATCATTACGAGTAAGAGGAATACGGATAAAAAAACACATATACGGCCCGTCTAGGCCCGGGAGTTTGACGGTTGGCCCATCAATAGGTTCCACAGCCGCTCCAGGCACCCTTACGATAAGGGATGGAAAGAGATGAGTCCCGCAAGCAGCCAGTACCCAGGCGCACGAGCGTCACGGACATCTTGGTCCACGATCGGGTCTTGGCTAGGCTAACCCTAGCCGGATCCCCACGAATGGGATGCCTGGACCCCAATCGAACTATCCAGCCAATGAACAATCAAAACTCACGGCCATACCCGCAAAGGGTCCGACCTTGGCAAGAAGAAATCACCGTTCCCAGAACACGCCATGGACGACAATAGAAGGTCAGGGCCCTTAGAGTCCTCCCTTTTGAAAAACCTCTGAAGGAGTATTCTACTCCTCCGCAAACTCGGGGGCTACACCTACCGGGTGCGCTCGCGCGCACCCACTGGCAAGTCAAAAAAACCCAAGGTGATTCTATCCGAATCACCCGGGGGCTCGGAGGTTACTATCAGGGACCAATATTAGGGTACCTAAAGAGGAGGAGCTAATAACCATCAACGATTGATTCACCCGAGCGGTCAAGAGCACGACTACACCTCTTGCTGGGCTCCGCCTTGTCTAACCACCGAGGCCAGGGGCTCCGCCTCGTCCGACCCCCGAGGGTTGGCTCTACCTCAGTGGACACTAAGGCCACGGACTCTGCCTCGCCCGACCCCCTAGGGTCGGCTCCACATCAGCTGACACCCAAGGGCGGACTCCATCTCATCCGACCTCCGAAGGTTGGCTCCGCCTCGCCCGATGTCTGAGGGCCAGCTCCGCCTCGCCGACGTCCGAGGGCTGGCTCCGCTTCGATTCACTCGAGGGCAGGCTCCATTTTAGCTAACTCCCGAGGGTAGGCTCCGCCTCGGGTGACCCCTGAGGGTCGGCTCCGCCTCGGCCGAAGTCTGAGGGCCGGCTCTGCCTTGCCCGATCCCTCGAACACGGTTCCTAACAGAAGCTCACGTCGCTGCCAACCACTACGGGCCAGGAAGTACCGCTCAAGGTCAAACTTCTAGCATCGTGCAGGGAGCGGTCACATCTCAGCACGACCTGTCCCCACGATATGTCATTCTGGGGAACTCACATCGTCTACAGTGACGGACGCGTGGTCACTGTGCTGCCAACTCCCGCTCGACCACCGTCAAACGCCAGTCAACCGGCGTCAGTTGATAGGCAGTGTACCGCTAGCCCCCCGCATGGCTTTCTGTTAGGTGATCCTCTGACCATTTCGTCCGCTCGGATGGGACGGAAGACAAGAATGGCGCACGACGCCGGCGCATAAGCTGCAGCGACCAACAGGACCCCGGTACGACGCCGCTGCCACCACGATCTACAGGGTCAACATGACCCATCTATAAGAGGAGGACGGCGCACCTGCGGGAGCCTTATTTCTTTTTCCTTTTTCCTCCTCCCTTCGGTTGTAAACCCCCACTTCCCTTTGACTTATAAAAGAAAAAGCAAGGCGTCCCACTGGGGGGGGGGTGCGATTCATCGAACAAACACACCATCACACCAGAGACTCGAGAGCTGACTCTCTCTCTCGCCAGTTTGTAACCCCCTACTATAAACTCGGTGCTAGTAACACGAGCAGCTCGAAAGTGGACGTAGGGACATTCAGCCCGAACCAGGCCTTGTTTAGTTGGCGAATTTTTTTGGAAAATGATATTGTAGCACTTTTATTGTTATTTGTCAATTAGTGTCCAATCATAGTCTAATTAGGTTTAAAAAATTCGTCTCGTGAATTTCATCTAAACTGTGTAATTAGTTTTATTTTTTATTTATATTTAATACTTCATGCATGCGCCTAAAGATTCGATGTGACGAAAAATCTTGAATTTTTTTGCAAAATTTTGAAAACTAAACATGCACCATGTGCTCTTAACACATCGTCCGAATCAGACACACAGTACACGGATTTACCGACCATACTTGCTCGAAACACCGACACTGAACTCAACGAGCTGCAGTCGCTAGTCATCTGCTGTTGTTGAATACGGTGTACTCTGAATCTCAGTCTCTGTAATCATCCCGAAGTATACAATGTATATCTCCAGTACAACACTTTCTACCACTCCAATTATTTCTCACCCAAAGAAAAAAAAAAACCAACAAACTAATGGAATGTAGCCAGCCAGGCAGGCAGCCAAGTGCAGTAGTGCACCAGTCCTATTCAATGCCAACCAAACATGAGTGACAGAGTGAGCAGTAAAAGCCGGCCAGCCTATCCCTAATCAATCAATGCAGCAGGAGCAGGAGCAGGAGCAGGACCAGCTGGGCCAGCACGAACACGGCGACTCCCAGCGGCCGCCGGTGGGCCGCCGAGGTGGTGGCAATCTGTATGGTGAAGTTGCAGGTGGTGGTGGACGGGTCCGTCTGCGTGGGCACGGCGAGGCCCTGGAATCCGCAGGCCTCGTCCTTCTGGTTCTGCACCTGGAAGAAGGCGTTGAAGGCGTAGGACGCGTTGCCGTTGCTGTCCATGCCGCCGCACGTGGACCCGTACCCCAGCGCGGTGCAGTCGGCGAACGTGCACGCGTAGTTGATGTTGTCAGCGAGCTTTTCCATGGCGTCGCTGCCGGCGTTGGTGTTGACGACGCACCACGTCCGGGGCAGGTACTCCACGCCGCGCGCCGGCACCAGCATCGTGTTCTGCCCCTGCCCGCTCAGGTCCATCGGGTACTTGGGCTGCCCATCGTACCGGAGGATGCCCCAGTGCCGCTCGAAGTTGCCCGGCGCCACGCTCTTGATGTCCTCGTCCAGGAGCCCGAACAGGTACATCTCGATGTACTGGTTCGGCCGCGCCGGGGTGCCGGCGTTCGCCGCCAGACGCTTAAGCAGGCCGTTGTAGAAACGCTGCGCGTACGCGCTCGTGGCGTGCTTGTCGCCGTCGGTGGGCCAGCCGACCTCGCCCACGACGATGGGCATGTCGCCGTGCCCGACCGACTTGAGCGCCGCCACCAGGGTGTCGAAGTTGGCGTCGAACACGTTGGTGTAGGACACGCCGTTGCCCGGGTCCACCAGCGGCGTCGCGTCGCCGTCGAAGAAGGCGAAGTTCACGGGGAAGTCGTCGTTGAGGAACAGGCTGATGAACGGGTAGATGTTCACCGTGAAGGGCGCGCTGTTGTTGCTCAGGAACTGCACCATCTGCGTCATCAGGTCCGTGATGTCGGCGCGCCACCGCCCCGCCGACGGCACCGGGTTGTCCTTCGGGGACATGTACACGTCGGCGTTCAGCGGGACCGTGGCCTTGATGGTATCGCCGAGCCCGGCCTCGTTCAGCGCGTTCTGGATGTTCTGCAGCGCCGGGAACGTCACCTTGTCGAACGTGCCGTTGTAGGCCGCAAGGAACGGCTCGTTGCCCACGGCCACGTACCTGCACCGGACGGTCCATCAAGAACGACGGGCATAAGCACGAGATGCAAAGCTTAACGAGCAACCACAGAACACAACAAGCATGAATGAGCAGCATCACAGGAAGAAGAGAGCACTGAAGCAGGATGTTCTCACTTGATTGTGACGCCGCCGTCGAAGTTGTAGCGGGACACGTTACGGCGCACCCACTCCTTGGCGGTGTCGTAGTCCGTCATGGTGTCGAGCATGACGTTGGGGATGGCGACCATGACCTCGATCCCGGTGCCGGCGAGCGCGCTGAGCGTTTCCTGGTCGGCGTCGAACAGCTTCACCTTCTTGATGCCGTTGTCCCTGAGGAGCTGCGCCACGATCTTGGGCGGCAGCAGGTGCGTGGCCTGCGTGCCCCAGTTCATCCCCAGCGCATCCGCCGGCGGCCACGGCGCCGACACGGCCGCCATTGTCGCCAGCAAGCAGAGCCACGGGCGCAGCTTCGGCAGATTCGCCATCCGGTCTCCCACGCCGCCGGCCGATCGGAGCCTGGCGAGATCTCGACTCCCAACTCCCAGGACAGGAGCCAATCGATCGGAGCAGCCGAGCAGGGCAGGTAACGCAGCCGCCGGTGCCTGCTGGATGCAATGGCTTGTGTCCCGCCGCAACCCAAACAAGGAAGCTCCGAGGTCGAAAAAGGAAAGCTTTTGATTTTTGGCCGAGAAGCGAGATGGAAAGAGAACCGATTGAGAAGAGGGCGGGCTTCTTTTTTTTGAGACAGGGCGGGCTTCTTGAAAGAGAAGCGGAGGGGAGATGGATGGGGAGGTGCGAAGGAAGGCTGTACACGAAACGCGGTTTCGAGGTTCCGTCCCACTCCCACCCGATCCTTGTGACAGCAACAGGGAAGCGGAACGGAAGAGGAGAGGTTTCACATGCGAGTGACGGAGATCGCAAGAAGCAAACGAGGAAAGGAAGAGGGGGGATCGACGGCTGGACGGCGACCGCAATTAAGACGCGGAGGGAGGGAAACGGTGGAAGACAGGGACGGGTCCGAAAAGCGTAGGAGCTTTTGAATGGTAGCAGTTGCAGTGCTCGTAATCCAGAGCAGAGAAGAGGCGGACGGCAAGAACTCCGCGGCCGGGATGGGACCGCCAGCAGCAGGAGGAATCGGTGGGAGTTACGGCGACTTGACAGCTGCGGCCACGGGCGGACGGTGCATGGATAGCGCCGCCGTATCGCGAAGCAGAGGCGGAGGAGGTGGGGGGTGGAGTGGAGTGGAGGAGTGGTGGAAGTGGGCGGCGGGCGGGGGGCGGTTGGGTCATCTCGGCGCGCGAGCGTTTCGGTGACGTGGCACGCGGTTCCTGGGTTGACTCGTGGAGCCCACGTGAGGGCCGGGCGCGCGCCGCTGCTGTGCGCGTCTCCCGGACGGGCAGGCAGTCACGTACTGGCTGGGCTCGGCTCGGCTCGGCTGGGCCTGGCACAGTGGCACGCGCAACTCCCAGTCCCAGTCTCCCAGAGAGACACCGGCTGGAAGCTGGAGTACTAGTACAAGCAAACAAAAGATGGACATGGCGTCCAGTTCGCATAACGAAAAGGGCACGTAGACGTGCTTTGCTATGGTTTCGAAGCACAGTGGTAGTAGTAACTGGGAGTCTGGGAAACGGGAGGGGACAGGCGTACTACCAGGGAATAAGCCCAAGGCCCCAAGTGGCCGGCGACTTGCCGGATTCCTGATTCGTTGTTCTCCTCCAGGCTCCGGCTCCGGCCAATTCGTCCGTTGCGTTAGCCGAATGACGGAAACGCCCTCCGATTCAAATCGCGGAGCATGTCCGGACAAAAGGGTGCCACGGTCTGGAGTCCAGCGAGTGCATGTTGCACGTGCCCTCCACGCTGCCGCATCGTGTCATGCTGCCCCCCACTGGGAGCAGAGCAGACGCCGGGAACCGGCAGCAAATCCATCGCCGGTCCAGGCGTCACTGTAGCACTGCTGCTCTGATGCCGATGCCCACAAGCTTGTGCAGGTCCTTGTTGATGTGTGGGGCGTGGGCGCCTCCTGGTCCGGAGAGAGGCAGCGGATCGCTGCTCCAGCCAGCAAAGTCCAACGCCGGTGGAGTCGTTGGGATCGGGGCCCGACGGCGACGGAGCTCTGCTTTCGGCGGATTGATTTGCACTTCACCGCCGTTCCAGGTTACCAGGTGGCACCGTGGCAGGATCAGATGACCAATCAGGCATACTGGTATTCAACACACACGCCCCTGGATTGGAAAATGATGTCTCCGTGTTTTTTCATTTCAACGCGATTGCTTTGCTCAGGCACGCTCCTCCCCTGCGATTTTGCTTCGTCGCGGCGCGTCCTCAATTTTCAGAGAAGAACAGAAGCGGCAAAAGTTTTCTTGTCCTTTACATACATCTGGCCCCATGCTCCCGTCATGTGATGTGACGGACACTTAAAAAAGCTGCATGGTTTCATTTCGAAATTATCAGGGCCACGTCTGTGAGTACAGTAGCCGTAGTGAGTTCAGCAGCGCGTAGACAAACCCTTTAAAAATAAAAAAGGGAGAAAAGAAATGCACCAGCCGGGAATCGAACCCGGGTCTGTACCGTGGCAGGGTACTATTCTACCACTAGACCACTGGTGCTTTGTTGGTGAGTGAACCATATAATTTTTCTTGATTTATTTCTAAGCCGCCTGTTGATTTTTTTTTACAGTCGGTGATTTGTTGGTCACATCTGCCTTAATGCTGCCACTGAGTTTCCTGTTGGCAAAAGGGCATAACAGCTTCTGCGCCAGACAAAGGGGACCATCGTTTCATTGTTTGTGACATTACACATTCACAAATGACAAAAATTACACCAGAGTCCATCGGGAACACAGCACACTAACACTGAGCGTTTGTTGTGCGACCTATGTAAAAGCAGACCATTAGGTCCGCTTGTCTAGCATAACGATCAAAGTCGAATCGTGAGCCAATAAAGCAGCTTGATAAGAACACCTAGAGCTAACATCATATAACCCAATTGAGACGTAGCATTATCGCTGCATTCATGTGTGCATTTGTTTGACGATGGCTCCAACATGATTCTTCCTATACTGCTAATGGATCCAACTTGAATAAACGTTGCCCTGAAGCTAACCATGCCATGCCCTGAAAGGCCAGAAGCTAAGTTTATGGCTACCATTTTACATATCAGTGGCCTACTAAAAGTACAGCCAAGACATTGTTTGGACCACCCATTAGCTGTTAATATTATTTAGCTACCTAATAACTTGTAACTAATATTATTTAGTTAACTATTAGCTGGTTTAACTCAACTAGAAAGATAGTTGTTAGTTAGGTATCAGCTATCAATTAGCTAGACCTGTTTATTTTTTATCTAAATAAAAGAGCTAACTTTTAGCTCTATGGATCCAAATATGGCCTAAGTTGATGAGGTCCCTTGTGGTAGAACATATTTGACAACTGATCAACACTTGTATTTACGACTAGTTATTACTTTCTCTATTCTAAATTATAAGACATTTTTTATTTTTTAGATACATAGTTTTTATTATGCGTTAGATATACACTATGTCTATATACATTTAGCCTGTTCGGCAGCTGATTTATACAGCCACTATAGCTGCTCTGTCTCACACAAAAACACTATGCAGCCAGCCAGCACAAGTTGTTTTTACAAAGCAGCCGGACAAGCTCACCGTAAAAGCAATGCATCTACAAAACTAAATCACCTTATAATTTGTAACGGGGGTAGTATTTTAGTAGTAGAGGATGTATCCATCTATAATGAGGTTAGATATGCACATACAGGTGGAATGTGCGTAACTAAATGCGTAGGACGAGTGTGCTTTTATATATTTCTACAAGCATCGCATCTTTATCGTGTTTACATTTTTTTTTGAGAAACCTTTATTGTGTTTACATGGAAATCTCTATCTCTACATCTCAAAAATACTCTAATGTCATCATCTACCCGGTAATACCAAATCTTATTCCTGCTAACGCATCCGTGTCCGATACGAATCATCCTCAACTCGAAGCTCACACGTCTACATCCTACCCAATTCCAATACAAAAACCGGACCCACATGTCTGTTTCTGATATGAAGTCCTTGGAGCTCACACGTCCGCATCCGGTTACTGAGGTTTGGCTTAAAAAATTATGACCCCAGTGCAACGCATGGATATATATCTAGTGAGCATCTCCAAGAGTTTGCTATCTCAACTTGGTATCCATATAATTTTGGCAAAATAAGAAAAAATAGCCTCCAACAGTTTGGCAAAACAACTTGGCATCAATAGCAACTTGGCAAATTTTCCCTCCGCGCGTGCAAATATACGCGCGCGTATACGGCTTGGCATCCGGGGCTCTTCGTTTCTTAGCGGGGCTCTTTGTTCGCTTAGCGGGGCTCTTCGTTCGCTTAACGAGCCTCTTCGTTTTGTTAACGGGTTTTTTTATTTTACCAAGTCAAAAATGCCAAACTCTTGGAGATGGATTGTTTTTTTTACTTGGTATATAATTTTAGGAGTTGGCAAATCACAAAATTTACCAAGTAAAATTTGACAAACTCTTGGAGATGCTCTAACGTTACAAATCAGTGCATGACAAAATACTACAGGTCCTTGCAAAACTGGGCTTTATTGCGGAGTCTCCCTCGAACATCGGACCAAACCAAGCCCACGGCCCACCTCACTTCGTTGGTACAGGCCCGGCATCAGGGTAACTGACATATGGACCACACCTGTCAGAAACAAGATAGCCGGGAAGCCCGCAAAAACCCTCGCCTTGCAACTTCTGTCTCGCAGCGGCGGAGTGCGCGCCCATCAGTCCCGAGTTCCCGCCACATCCCTCCCCATTCCCCTCCCAATCCTGTCCCCAAATCTCTCTCTTCTCTCCAGCGGCGAGGCGAGGCGGGGAAGACGAGCGAGCGGCGAGGATGTTGTGGGTAGACAAATACCGGCCGAAAACCCTAGACAAGGTCACCGTCCACGACCAGGTGGCGCGGAACCTCAGGAAGCTCGTAAGTGCCTGCGATCTGCGCGTATTCGGTTAATCTAGGGTTTCCCCTATTTTTTGCGCCGTTCTAATCACGTGTGGTTTTGTTTGGTCAGGTGTCGGAGCAGGATTGCCCACACCTGCTGTTCTATGGGCCGTCGGGGTCTGGGAAGAAAACCCTAATCCTCGCGCTCATCAAGCAGATGTTTGGCGCCGGTGCGGAGAAGGTACATATTTTCTTTATAAATTTGCTGGGTCTACTATTTATTGTATAGATTTTTCCATGTTGAGGCCATGCTTCGGTTTTGACATTTTTGTTGGTGTTTTTTTAATCTCTGTTGCAGGTTAAGCTGGAAAACAAGACATGGAAAATCGATGTAAGTCCAGTTATTTGTCCTCTTCCTTATTAGTGACACTAGCAAATTCAGATGATGTGTTGAATACTTGAAGAAATGCTATTGTACATTAATAGTATTTTACTTCTCAGGGAAGGTACTAATGTCAGGTAGGATGTAGATGAGAAGTCCCCTTTTGTGTAATCTTGACTGTCACAACACCACGATAGAGAAGTACCACAGTTTAGATGTTTCTCTTGCAGTACGTGGTAGTTGAATGTGTATGTTCATACTTCCTGTCTCAACGTCTTCTGATTTATTGAATTTGGGTTTGATATGTATTTGTCTGGAGCCTTGAGTTACTATTTTTGCTCTTCAGACTGGAACAAGGACACTTGAGATAGAATTGGCGATGTTGTCAAGTGCTCACCATGTGGAGATGAACCCCAGTGATGCTGGCTTTCAGGACAGGTATGTTGTCCAGGAGGTCATCAAAGAGATGGCGAAGAACAGACCAATTGATGCCAAAGGCAAGAGAGCATTTAAAGGTTAGTGCTCTATCAGTACCTTGTTTGTGCTCCTACAGTTCATTGTTGGCTACTACTACTACTAGTTGAATGCCCCATCTGTTGTGGCGGCACAAAAACAAATAATTACATGCGTGTGCACAGTTCATTCAAGAATGATATCATAGATGGAACACAAATAGGATGAATGTTGATAATTAATGTAAAGTGCTGAGGAAGCTTTATGTTCAGTGGTATAGGTGGGTAAATAAAGCAAACTATAGGGGTAAAATGATGATGACAGCAGGCACACCATCATCACTAACTAAAATGTTTTAAGTAGTAGAGATTAACAGAAGTGCTGCTACCTTTTTTTCTTCCTGATACTCGATGTTATGCATGATTTGATAAAGAAATGTCTGTATAGTATGCAGTCGTCTCACATGATGCTGTATGTTTACTTATTAGGTATCAACTAATAATTTTCCATAATCCGACACCTGAGACACGAGCATGCATATTATTTAGGTTGAATGCATACCTCCTGTTGAGAGGAACTTAACAGATTCATCTGAATTTTCAGTCCTTGTGTTAAATGAAGTTGACAAGCTCTCACGAGAAGCCCAGCATTCCCTCCGCAGAACTATGGAAAAGTATAGCTCATCATGCAGGCTGATCCTATGCTGTAACAGCTCCTCAAAAGTGACAGAGGCTGTAAGATCCCGTTGCTTAAATGTGCGAGTAAATGCACCCAGTGAAGATCAGGTTGGTGATTGATGCCCAAACTTTCATTTAACATTTGATCTTACTTTGCCTCATTGTCTTGGCTGTTGATTGACACTATGCCATGCCATATGGGTGTTGAAAGGCACTGTTAACATCTCCTAATGATTTGCTTCCTCAAGTCCAAAATATTAACGGGGAATTGGGGAGAGACTATGCAAATACTTAAAGTCTGACACCATTCTTCACTTCCCAGATTGTCCAAGTTCTAGAGTTCATTGGGAAGAAAGAAAACCTGCATCTTCCAGCTGGATTTGCTGCTCGTATTGCAGCACAATCAAACCGTAATCTTAGACGGGCAATACTGTTTTTTGAGACTTGCAAAGTGCAACAGTAAGCTTTTGTGCTTATTTGTTATCCAGTGTTTTACTGATTTGCCACACCTCCATTTACAGTTATGTTAATCTTTACCTCCTGCCAACACTGACTACTACTGTTATATTCTTTTTTCTTTGGCTTTCAGATACCCATTTACATCAAATCAAGTGGCGCCTCCTCTTGATTGGGAGCAATATGTGTCTGAAATAGCAACTGATATACTGACAGAACAAAGCCCTAAAAGGTTTGAACTCTGTTGGATGAAGTACTTAAGCCTTATAATTCTTGTTGCATGCTTTTATTCATCTTAAAATTTAAACATGGGTCCAGCTGCAGTATCGCTTTTCTTGTACTAGGTTTTCGTATGCCTATGTTTGCTGAAAATAAAAGACATGTCAATGACTGGAATGCAGTGAGCGCATGCCTAGACCTGGCTACAGTGCATGCTTCTCCAAACAGATAGGAAAGCTTGAATTGGTATTTGTTTTGGCAAATTCTGTTTGGAATTTGTAGCTGATAGTTCATATAATTCAGTATCAGTGTTAAAAGCACCAAGCTTTGCTATATTTGTATATGTAATCATTTTTGTCTATAGTTTTCTCTTCTCAAAAAAAGGGACCAAACTAGGAGGAACTAGGTGGCTTTGTGTTAAGAAGAAACTAGGCACCCAAATTTGTGTCAGTGAGGACATGAACTTGTGTGGTCTAGGCATACATCCACACCCTCAACCAACTGAACTAGGTTTATATCCTTTTTTGGTCTATAGTTTCTTTGAGTTATACTTCATTAGTTTTCCATGCTTCCTGATTCCTGTCAGTATTTGTCATGTAGCCTGCAACTACATGGGGAAGATGTCTGTTTAAAATGTAATCTAATAATATGATATTTCTACTACTGATTGAAGCAGCTAAACATGATGTTTTTACTGGTCTTTTATATTCTTATTTTTACAAATTTGAATGTCTTGTGACACAGAATATAGATTTGAGAAAGTTTGTCCTTGCCAATGCGTGCAGCTTCTGCTCTGGATTTGTTGAGATTTTGTTTTCGTATCACGATTTATGCAAGTGACTTATTGATTTTCTTTGATTTTGGCTCTGATCATTTCAGGCTATTTGCTGTACGCCAGAAATTCTATGAATTACTCGTCAATTGTATCCCACCTGAAAGTATTTTGAAGGTGACTTAATGCTTCTTCAGTGCTTTATTTCATTCCTTCATTCCCATTCTTACCATGCGTGCTGAACTCTCTCTCTTGACTACTGCAGAAATTGTTGGCAGAATTACTTAGGAAGTTAGATGCTGATCTGAAACATGAAATCTGTCACTGGGCTGCACACTATGTGAGTAAACAATTCAAAACACTATTTCACTGTTAATTACTTCATTACACCCTGGGATTGTCAAACAACAGAACTCACAGGTGCATGGCATATTTAAGCGGATTAAACGTGTGGTGCTAATTCTTGACATCTCGTAGTTCTAACTTGCAAGGCCTTATGTTTGCAGGAGCACAAGATGCGCCTTGGATCAAAGGCCATTTTTCATCTAGAAGGTACTTTCCCCTTCTCGTTACTGCTCCCAATAATGCTTGTTAGCCTGTATGTGTATCCTATGCAATCTTATCATTGTTTTGGAACAAAATAATTTGGTGCCTGTATATGAATGCCCCACTCTGCTACATAACCAAAGCATGCTGTTATAATTATGGATTGATTTAGTTATGTATGACCTCAGCTTGAGATTGTTCTTGTTTCCTTTTATTAGTATGTGCCCGTCTCAGATTTGCCTTGCATGGTCTTACCGTGATGATTATGTACAGAAGCCATACTTTAACTTATCCGCCCCTTCCCTTCTGCAGCTTTTGTGGCCAAGTTCATGAGCATTTACAAGGAGTTCCTGGTGGCTACATTTGGTTGAGCAAAAACCTGAAGCAGGGTTGTCACCCGCGAAGCGAAAAGAGGATGCAATCGGCTATCGGATTGTATCAGGGAGCATCTTTGGCGGTATAGTCTTGTACTAAACTCGTTAACGAGATTCATTGTGTCTGTTTGAACCATCGTCAACTCGGGTTACCCTTCTGTGATTCCATCGTGTCTGCCTGCACGTGAACGTTGATGACGACATCATCAGACGTTGATGACATGATTAGAAATCATTTCGCTAGGTTAAGATAACATCATGAAAGTGCGGCAGACTCGGAAGTATGAAATAATAGCATGTGAACAGAACCAAAGAATGTCTATGAACAGCACAAACATGAGAACCGTAGCAAAGATAACGAAACAAGCTGATTCATGTTATTGCAATTTGCAAGCGTGTTGTCTCAAATTCAAATTAAAATAGCTGTCCACATTTACACTACAACAGCTTTTGATTACAAAGGTCAGTGCTTGCGGGGTTGGCGTCTCAGACCCTTGGTCTCACCCTGCGCCCGCTGGTGTCGCCGCCGTCAGAGAGCTGCGCCCACACGCTCTGGCTTTTCACGCCGCTGCTACATGGCTCCTCACACCCGGCAACTGTCCGTAGTATCTCTGACTGCAGAGATATGCAGTTGTCTTTGAGATAGTCGAACCCCTCGCTCCGGATCACAGCTGCAGATACATAAGGGCATCTGGAATGTTATACAGTTCAAGACTTATTTCGGCACCACCAAGCAACAAACGGGCGAAAGGTAAAATATGGTACACAATATACTGATTGAGCTAAAATATAGGAACACAATTTACTGATAGATGATAGAGATAAGGTGAAAGCGCAAGGTAAAATAATGGTCCAAACAGAAGCAAGAAATGACTTAAATTCATTGAGTTATCATCACTCATAATCCAGTAACAGTAACTATCAGTACTATTTTGGCACAATAATATTTATCAAGTTTCACAGCTATGCCAATTTACTATGCAATGAGAACACACTGCAGACATTTCGCCAGCATGCAAGCACCTTGCCATGCACAGCCTAGGTAAATCATCCATCAAAGTGGAATTGCCTAATGTCTAAAGTCTTCTTGGGAACTTGGACCATGAAAAAAGCAAAACATACTAAATTGTTTATAGAATAAAAACTATGCATTCCATAGCCTTCTCTTTCTTGTCTAATAAAGCTAGTAAGTTATAAATCACAGATCAAAATTATGCCAAAAGATGTGAACCCAGAAGATATCTACAAACGACATGTGAAGGTCAAACAGATTTCATGTCAAGTCTTATTACCTGAAAGGTTTTCAGCAGCAAACTTTAGGCACACAGATTTAAGCTCCATAGCATGGTGCAGATCAGCCAATGCTAGAGTAGTTGCCACGGAGTTTACAGAAATATGCTTGCACAAGTAAGATTCACACAACAATCTTAGCCTTGGCAACTCATATTTGTCTGCTGCAGCCATTAACTTCCCAGCTAAACTATCAAAGATAGAGCAGTCAGAGCTTGATGCAGACAACTCATCATCATCAACAAGATTGTCCCTGTAGATAAAATGAAGCACAGTCTGCAACATGGAATATTTGCACGGATGAAAATAAAATCCCAAGTTTGTTGAACAGGGAAATGGATGATGAGATTGGCACCAAAATATAGAAATACCTTGAACACTACAGGATCCATGTCATCAATGACGATCTCTTTGATTTCATCCTTCGTATCAGTTTCGTTCTTCTCTTCACCCGATTCATGATCGAAAAATTCAGATCTAAAAAAGGGAGACCGGGCAGCCAATACCAACTTATGGGCATGAAACTTCTCTCCTGCTACACTAAAAACAACATCTACACCTTCCTGAGTGTCCAAAAGCGTTCCAAAATGATAGCCTATGTCAGACTCTGGAACCTCTATTGAATGTGGCCTAGAATAATCCATAGTTGATACTACAACACCCACAGTACAGTTTATCTTCAAGCAATCATCTTTAAGAAAATCTGATAGTTCAAGAGCATTACGCCGATAGAACCTTTTATATCCCCTGAAAAATTAAAACAGGACAATCAAATATGGGTACTTTTCAGAAACAAACTTGGTCAAATGCAGGGAGTAATCAAACAGGCAGGCACATTTTATATAAAAAAAACTAAACAATCTGGAAGAGATATGTATGTGTACTATTTATTAATTACTTGGACATATATGAGCTGCCAGAAAGGGACAATATTAATGTACTTGCACAGCTGCACCTTTGTGAGGGGCCGATGGTCTGATGGACAACTGGTTATCATAGGATGAGAGAACCCAGATAACCAACATAAAGTTATTCGAATAAACCGCGGGCGCACAAAGTTCCCACTTTTCAAGCCCACATGTAAAGCATATAGGTTACAGATTCTCTAGTCCCTACCACCTTCCCATCAATTCACTGGTTCCGAGATACAACGTTTAGCTTATCTAGAAATTGTAAGTAATGTGGAAACTGAAACTAATGCACTACTTTAAGAAATCTTGTGACACTAATCAAGCATCCAAAGCAAATACAGAGAAACAGCTAGATATCTCCAAAAATTTTAGTAAGTACTCCCTTGTAACTATAAACCTGAAAACTGAACTAAATATCCACATTGGATAAATACTATTAGCATGGAGCAGAAATAATGATAGGTCTGTCAGAAACATGGTACTTTCTTCTTGGGAACATTAATTTTATTAATACTACCTCTGGTCATGACCAGAGAGAGTATAAGACAAGAATTCAAACAAATGCCACTCCAAAACGGATTTTGAATTTTTTATTGATGCAGTGATGTCACATGACTAATTTTTAGATGGCCTCATTAAGCAGTTACAGCTCAATAGGTTGAACAAAGGAAATATTAATTATTAATGCGAACAGGGAAGCAACCAAATTAGACTGTAATAAACACGTCATCACAGGGATCTGCGTATTATAGATCACCAATTTTGTCACACAGTGTTTATTGTCAAACTCACAGGCCAAATAAAAGGCTGGAGCAATACAAACACATCCAAATCAACTAAACAAACTCAAATCAGGCACCGAGTTATGTATAGAAACAAAAGCATGCACCATATTATGTAGATCAATCGCTAAAAAAATCTCCCAATAGCCACCAACTATATCAAATCAAACTAATTCGGCAGGTACTCTGTAACCAATCTAGCCACTCGTTGTAAACCTAAACAGAGCTCATTACTCAACGCAAGCTACTTAAGGCGGCAAGAGATAAGGAGACAAACTCCTAGATCATTACCACATGGATCCGCGGTACTTGAGGGTGTACGGCCCGGACTCTAGGGAGCGGTCGAAGTGCGAGTGCACCTTGTGCTTGCCCTTGCCGCTCTGGTCGAGCAGCGTGAGCTCGAAGAGCGCGCGCACGTCGGTGCCGTCGGACGCGAGCGCGATGAATACGGAGACGTAGTTGGAGTTGTCCTCGGGGTTCTTCCCGTCGGGGTAGAAGTAGATCGCCCACTGGTAGCCGCCGACGGTGAAGGTCTCGCTGGCGATGTGCTTCCCCACGCCCATGCCCTTGGCGAGCGAGTAGCCCTGGATCACGAAGCGGTGGGACCCGTTCACCGTCTGCGTCACGGAGCGCGAGCGCGTCGGGGACGCCGCCATGTCCCGCGCCCGGTCGCCCGACGCCGCCGCGGCGTGGTGCGGAGGGGAGGCCTCGCCCCCGCCGCCAGGGCCGGCGTCCTCGTCTTCCATGGGGAGCGGAGCGGAGGGGAAGGGGAGGGGCGAGGGGAGGAGAGGCTAGGTTTTGGGAGCGGGAGGCTCCTCGGCGAGGTCGGGGACGGGGAGCGAAGCCGACGGGATTGGGGATTGGGGGTTGTGAGGTGGGTACATGGGCTGCTGTATTGTACAGCCGAGCCGACGGGGGTGGAGCGAAGAGGGTGGAAACGGGAGAGACTTGCCAGGGTGGAATGGAACGGAGAGGAGTCGCGGAAGGTGACAAACCCGTTAGACTGCGCCCACACTACACACCGTCACGTAGAATGTTTGACATATATATAAAGTATTAAATATAGATTAAAAATAACTAATTACATAGATTTCGACTATTTTACGAGATAAATATTTTAAGCCTAATTAATTTATGATTTGACAATAAAGTATTATAGTAATACATATGCTAATGATAGATTAATTAGGCTTAATAAATTCGTCTCACGATTTACTAATAGATTCTGTAATTTATTTTTTTATTAGTATCCACACATCCTATATGATATCCTATATAACATCCGATGTGACACCATAAAATTTTACACCCCGAATCTAAACACCACCCAAAAGCCAGTTTGCAATGGTCTATCTGTCTTGTGGACCCACTTTCAGGTCGGCTATTTACCTAGGAGTAGTTTTTAGGTTCGTCTGAAAAGCCATATTACAATTTACAAAGACCTCAGCATGTCTCGGCGTCCTAGAGTAAACTAGGAAAAATTATTGATCATAAAATTTGATCAAGTGGCACGTCTGATTCAAAATAAACCTGCCTAGCCAAATTTAAATCCTTGACTTAAGATGGCTATCCACATTTTTGTAAATTTATTTATAATTATGAGATTTAATAACTTTTTTTTCTTGTGATAGGAGGCAAGGCGCTTCTAGTGACTTCATGCCCATGCAAGACGCTTCTAGTGACTTCGTGCTTGCTTCTACTGACTTCGTGCCCAATCATTTGATGATGCTCATAGAAAGGTAGATTGTGTGTGTGCGTACCCGTATGTAATAATTGGTAATCGTCAGCGTATATACTTTGATTCACAAAAAGCCAAAAGGGGCTATCTTAGCACAATTTCATTACACTCACAATGGTGATATCAATCATTGCTCACCTAATCCGGAAATTCCACGTGCCTTTACAACAGCTCCAGACGCTACCTTTCAATACAAAATTGAGCTACATCACAGCCTAATTCTATCGGTAAGCACCGTATCTCAGAACGAAGTAACAAGCCCTACACCTAGTTCCTCCGCGAGTTCATCCCACAGCGGAATGAGAGTCAAAACAACAAGAAACACTGAAGCTATCAAGGCCGCCCTCCTCCAACTTCCAACATCGCTTACGTCGTTCAAGCATGGTTTCTCTGGTGTTCTCTGAGACAAATAAGAAGGCACGAATGAAGTCATTGCATTTCTGTAAAAAAATAATAATAATAAATTTTTTCTTAGTGGATATCTGAAGCGTCCATTTGCTGTCCATTTTACCTGACATATTAGCACGTACAAACCCCAAGGAAGAGATAGTGGTCCTCCAAGCTAGAACAGCCCAAAAAAGAAAAAAAAGAAAAGAAAAAAGAAGAAGAAAGAACATTAGAGTTGGATGTAACATTACTGAAGCATAGCCACACAGCAGATCATGGTAAAGGTTGAAAGTGAAGAATCATAGATAAAAAAGGGGAAAAAATAATATTATTAAGAAAGACTCAATTTCCTATATAAGATATAACACAATATTTGAGATAAAAGTAGGTATTCATCAACGATATCATCGAGTTACTATATGCATGGCATATGGATGAAATCACTTCTGAAAAGGTTAGAAACCATGCTGATGACTGCAATAGAAACACGAAGCACAAGATGGAGCAACTTACCACTCCTAGTCCAAGCAATGAGTATGTTGTGAGGCCAAATCCAAACAAAGCTTCCTTGCCAAAAGCACCCTGTTGAATATGTAAGTGGACTTAAAACACACTGTTTGATGAAAAAGTTCAATGTTTTGCTGCTAAATACTCATGGAGTTGAGGAGTTATATACAAGCCATGGTTCGGGTTAAAAAGTTCAATGGAGACTGCAAAAACTTAATCCTCACACTGAATATATTTTTACAGAATGAGATGAAGATCTGGTAGCGTGGTTGTCTGATATCCTGACTTTATTAATCAGAACTTAACAGGAATTTTTACCTGTAATGCTCTTCCACCATCAAGACATCCAACAGGAAGCATATTAAAGGCAGTAGTAGTTAAACCACACCTAAAAATTTGCAAGAATTAGAAAGTAACACTTGTGTGGTTGCAAGGTCTTGAGGGTTTAGGGAACGATACTTTACCAGCCTGCAATCACAAGAGGGTGGATCGAAACTGTAGCAGCATGCATAGCACTGGAAGTAAATATAAATTCATTAGAAACAACCAAGTAGATTATTTCAAATCATGCCACAGACCATGGTTAGACTAATGTGCTTTTTTTTTGACAGAGGTAAACCCAGCTTTTATAGAAAGCTAGAAGTTGATACAAACGCACACCACACACCAGCTGGGAACACCAGTCGAACAGTTAAGCGTAAAGAAAACAGAAACAGGAGTTAAGGTTGGCTCTGGCGGTCCTCAGACTAATGTGCTCAGAAACTATACAAACAGGAGTTGCTATAGAATAAGTGACATTTGTATCTAAGTTGGTGTATAATCCACAATGGTGGTCCATAAGCATAAGAATCCAATAACATATCATTATGACTGGTTTCCTCTTGAACTGCTCTGATGAGCGCATTGTGACTGGTAAGGGAAGTGGTGAATATATGACAAACAGAACTGCGGGAAAAAATAAATAGTACAGATTCGAAATGAACCGAGTTCAAAATATCAAGTATCAGATACCTGTATCCAAGTGTAGCTCTACTAATAAGTCCAAGCAACAATGAACCCTGGAACAGTTGGCTAGGTACTTCCACTAAATCACTTGCCCCAACAGGATTTGAAGAGAGTAATAAGCCTACAAAGAACATTGAAAAGGAAAGTGCAGCTCCAGCCACAGGACCAGCCATTGATATGTCAAACATTGTCTTTCGATCCGGAAGAATGGACTTGAACTACATGAGTAAATATAAAAAGTAAGAAAATATCCAGGAAAAAAGTATGCATCATGTATCAATCTTCTGTTCAATGCACGGCCAGAAATGTGCAGAAACTGGATCTGTTAAGGCCAAAAAAGATTGATTGCTATCGTGGCAATGAAACTACAGAGCATACCTCTGACAATTGATGACAGTAAGCATCATTAGAATTATTTAATTGTATTCGGTGAACTATATAAAGTCAACCAGGGACATTTTGAAAAAGAGGTATGCTACAGTTGATGTTGTAGGTTGTACGTTCATAGCTTTTAAATCAGCTAATATAGAAGAAAACATTAAAGTACACGGCCTTATCAAGATGCAATCACAGCATGCTACTGATCAATATCTATCTAGAAATAAGAATACAAGTCCAGCTGTCCAAGAAACTCCCAGTCCCATAGATTTGACTTCCTTTAAGAAAATACTAACCTGAGTAATTGCCCCAAAAGTTCCAAGGGTGAAGTTTGGAATGAAGAAAGGAATGCCTAGTTTCACATTTTTTGGGAATGCTGCCAAAAAGTGTCCAATTTCCTGCATGCAGAAAGGCGACATATTAGGTAGAATTAAAACGTACCAAAAGAAGAGGCCACATAAAAAAGCGGTTAAAACATGGTGCATTGAACTGATCGAAAAGGTCTTATGCTTTCACATGGCTTCTTTACAGGTTAAAAATAACTAACAAATGAATAGAAACTAATGGACAAACAGATGCTCAACATATTTAAGGTATAAATTACATGGAATAGTTGGATAGCCAAGACACCATAAGCCACTGGCAAAGCCGATTCCACAAATGGGAGCAGAAGTTGCATATCAGGAGGGGGTCCGGTAGCATTTGGATCAGTGAAATATGAAACAATTTCTGGTGGAAGACTGCTAATCTGCATAAAACTAAAGTGCATAAGCAACTTGAAGCTGATGTGTATTAAGATGAAGTAACATACAATAGATGAAGAGTAAGATAAGCATACCTTTGATGCAATTCCTAGTTCAACGCAGGAGAACATAGTGAGAAGGAAAAGTAACAGAGAAATGACATACTGCCATAGGGTAGTAGGTCCAGGCTCAGAAACTTCCTTCCTAAGCAAACCAAAACTAACACGTGGTCCCCCACGTGGGTCATCCCCTTCTGAATTAGGTTCCTCCACCATAAAAAGATTGTATTTGTCACCAGTAAGTTCACGCAGTTGCCGTTGAAGTTTTGCAAAGATTTCCTCCCTCTTCCCACGGAGATTCCCAATGAAAAGAACTCCTTCACCGAGATCACCAAAGGGTTCTTCTTTTGTCAACCAGAATGTCGTATAGCCAAAGAGTTTTTCCTTAATTGCCTTGACATCAACTGGATCAACCTTTTCCGGGCCTAGAAGTTCCAACAGTTTAACTGTATCGATATTATCAACACTAAAACTCAACAGTGGTGGCTCGCTTGATACACCAGGAGTCTGGTCAAAGTAAAATGTAGCAGAACTGGTTTAGAGATAAAGAAGTATCCATGCGCATAGTATTAACACAAATGTTATCTACAGATTATAAGGAATGTGTAGTTTGAAGACAACCAAAGAGACAAATAATTAGCCTAATCATTTCAAAAGAAAAAGAATGAGCTAAGACAGGTTTAACTACATAAAAGCACAATTGGACCTTGCAGCAAGTAAAGGATAAAACAAAGGTAGCCGTACAGTCATTGTCAGATAACAGAGAGACATGGTAAGATCCAATGTTTGGGTACAATTTTAATACAACCCAACGTGAAGTGCCAGAATCTTTTAAACTAGATACATTAGCACTTTACTGTGATCACTAATCAAGGGAACAAGCACACTGTGGTTCCTTCCCACCCATATGTCAAAACTGAATGCTAAACATGCAATATCAAGTGAAAAGAACAGACCATTGAAATTGCAATGATGCATTGAATTCCGGCAGCATACTAGGGCCCAAAATTAACTCAAGACCAACCCTACGAGGGATAGTGCCTGTGCGCAAGTACGAACCTAGCAACTCAGTTTGGGCAAACGTATTACATCACCAGGGTTAGGTTGGATTAACTATGTCTGGAATGTCACATGTTATGGGCATGTTTGGATGCTGCCGCGTGCAGGCCATGCCAAACCATTGGCTGGCCAAAAATTGGCGGAGGAATCGGCCGCGCTTGGGCTAAAAATTAATGTGGCATGGGCACGGGAACAAGGGCAAGCCAAATCTCGTCTGCCGTCCAAATGATATCCTTGCCTACGGTCAACGACCAAAATGAGGCTGGGCTTCCGCGGGCAACAATTCAAACGCGCCCTATATGCCAGTACTATTATTTACTCTAAATCTCTAATATCCTTACCAGCAACTAGTACACGCAGTATATATGAGAATTCCATTTGAAAATCAACAATGAGTGACCAATAAGTTAGCCACGAGCTCTAACTGTGAAAAATTAGCTCATGCCACAAAAGCTCTGGCCAGTGAATTGTCAAACATGCCATTGAACTCAATAATCAATACAAAGCTACACCCACACAAAACTCTCTAGAAGGCATCCGTTCCCCAGCTAACCCAACACCCACAGCTACCCACTCACTACATTACCCCATCGATGGAACAAAGCCTCACAACAGAACAAGCAAACCCCCCGAGTAAGTTACTATTCCTTCATTGCAAATGTTGATCAATCGTGCATTTGAGTCAATTGAGTGTTACCCCGGACGACGAGGATGAGGACGAAAAGCTCCCCGACCGGCTCCGCTCGGACGCCAGCTCCTCCGCGGCGCCCACCTGTGTCTCCGCTGGGGCCGAGGCCGGGGCCTCCGAGGCCTCCTCCTCGCCATGCTTCTCCCCCTCCTCCCCGCCGCCCCCGTCGGTGGAGAAGCATCGAAGCCGGTCACACCGCCTCACGGTCCTCCACCCGACCGTCAGCCTCCATCCCAGGCACACGCCACTCGAGCATCCTGGAGCGGAGCTCGAAGCGGAGGCCCGGGACCTGGGGAGGCGGAGGCGGGAGGCGGTTAGGTGAACAAGCGGCGAGCTCGCGAGCGCCGCGGCCATCCCCAGCTTGGCGTGCAGTGCCGAGCGGCCCGTCGAGTTCGCCGGTGCGGTAGTCGGAGGCGGAGGCGGGAGGCGGGAGGCGGGGAGAGGGTGGGGGGCGCTGCGGAGGATAGGGTGCGATGCAGAGGTGCGATGCAGAGGTGTATGGATTTGGTTTGGACCGACGTGGCAGAGACCAGCAAGTTTGGCGGCGAGCCGGCGACGCTTTCCACTTTCCAGGGTCCCGGTCCAACGCAGAAATATCCCGGAAAAAGTTCGACAATTTCACGCAGGGGTTAGCCGGATTGTGGATGCAGCGGGCTGTTTGCCGGCCTGGCCCAAGGACTCATGTGGGCTTTGGGTTCAGGTTCTGGTCTGGAGCGGGTTAGCTAGCCCCAGACCATCAATCCAAAATTTTTGAATGGAAACACAATTCAGAGAAAGCAAACGGCGTTTGGATTTCGTCTTCGTGTTCGTGGGGACATCTGCTACGCTTCGGGTTTGTTTGGTTCGGTGCGACTGGAACGGACCATGTCCCACCCTGTCCACAATATTTTTCTTTCTGAGAGAACAGTTTTTAAATCCTTAGTTGTGGAACATTTTTTTCCACTGACATGAACAAAATTTGTTGTTCCATCGAGCTGGGGAAACAAGTATGATAGACATATTCTAAGCCGAAGAAGAAAAGGAGCCTGTTTGAATTGCAATCTGATAGGTAGCTCATCGGCTAGGCGTTTAAAATAAACAACTAGGAAGCTGTCTAGCTAGGCTAAGTTGTCTAGCTACCAAACCAAACAAGCTCGAAGTGCTCTATGAGATTGTTTCGAGAGGAGGTACGTCATCACCGTGAGACATTTCAAGTCGCACATGCAACATATTAACCTCCTCGGTTGCACTTTTCACGGGGTTACAACTTTTGCTGCTGCTTGTGCACCACATTTATCTATTTTACTCTACTCTCTACTGTAATTTTTGCAGCAGCTGCTGTTGCACAGCGTTGCAAAAAGTGTAGCTAAGCAGGTTGATTATATTTTCTGTGTAGACGGTCCATTGCTAAAAGAAAGAAATGTCCCCAATCACACTGATGAATTCCCTGAGAAATGGATCAGAGGAATGCTTGCCGCTTTTGAGCATGTTATGTTGTCATGTCAAAAGAAACTGGCAAGGATTAGGGAAGCCATGGGTGAGGAGACGTTCGTGAGTCAGAGCCCGTGGCCCAGCTGCGGGCTCCACCACGTACCTTTTTGCACCGTCCACGTCCAATTTGCGGTAGCCGAGCCCACCGCCGGCCCCGGCATGAGGGCCCAGGCAACCTACTTTCCTCCGTGGCCCACGAGGCATGGTCAGCTTGCCTCGCGTACGAACAAAGCGCCTTGAGCATCACCTGCTAGGAGTCGTCCACACTGCCAATTTGGCCCCACATGCAGGGGTCCACTGCTCAGAGAAGAGTGAAGACGCTAGGGCAGGCACGAAAACGGTGAGCGCAGCGCTGCTAGCTGACGGCGATCTCTTACCAATGGTAGGTCCCACACCACCAGTCACTCAGGAGGCGAGGCGCGCGTGGGGTAACGCGAGCTCGGCCGCTCGGGGGGAAGGGGCCACGTCACGTCACGCCGCTCGCGCTCCGCGTCGGTTAGCCTGACGACTCCTTTTCGCACCCGGCTCCTGCCTCCCCCACCTGCCCGCCTCTCGCTCCGAAGCTTCTCTCCTCTCGCGTCTCGTACCAGGAGGGTGGGGGACGGGAGACCCAGGGAGCGGAGGCGTGCGAAGCTCGCTTCGCGCGCGCGTGCTGCGGCCTGCGGGACGCGGGAGATCGGGGCCTGAGCTAGGGTCTGGGACTGGGAGGCGGAGATGTCGACGCCGGCGAGGAAGCGCCTGATGCGGGACTTCAAGCGGCTGCAGCAGGACCCGCCCGCCGGCATCAGCGGCGCGCCGCACGACAACAACATCATGCTCTGGAACGCCGTCATCTTCGGGTAATCAGGCCTCCTGTTTATGTGCTGTTTGGTTTGCTAGCCTAAGGATGTAGTGAGGTGTGAGGCAGCGATACGTTTGGTGGATTTTGGTGCTGACTGTGCTTTTGGTCTTGTTGTTTGTTGCGATTCTGCAGGCCGGATGACACGCCGTGGGATGGAGGTGAGACCCATCCGATTTAGGTTGCCTCGATCTGTAATTGCTCAATAGCTGTTGTCTGCACTTTGGGTACTGCCAATTTCGTTAGTTGGTGATTGGTTGACTGAAATACTGAATTGTACCTTTTGCCGATTGTTCAATAATTGTGCGTGATAGGTCCCATATTTCCCGTTTGATTTGGCATCTCGAAGCATAGATGCAAACAAATGTAAACAAACCGTGGTCTGCGGATGTTAACGCCTATGGGCTTAAGAACAGGCTGCTTACTTAGGTTCCGTGCTTAGTTTGCATGCTTTCCTGATGTAGGAATCTTGTGGCTGTGTCATCTCTTACGTACTGTTTGCCAAAAAAGTAAAGAGCGTGATCTGTGACGCCTTTTTTTTGTTCTTTAATGCTAACGGTCGTCACAAACTACCAAAGGGATGGCATGTCTGATTGACATGAAAGTTATTAATAGTCAAACTCTGAGTATGTGCGTTTTGGCCAAGCATATTGCTACATCTCTGTCTTTCTTATACAGCCAATAAAAGAACAAGCAACATAGCACTTGGGAAGTTGGAATTGTAAATTGAGTCACCGAGGCACTCCCCCTGGTTCCATAAGTCTTGTCGTTTTCGACATCAACATGGTCTTCAATAATTGCGTGCAATAGGTGCCATATTTCTTGTTTGATTTGGAACCTCGCAAATAAATGGAAACGAGTTATGAATGTTTACCCCTACGAGCTTAATAGCAAGCTGCCTATTTAGGAACCGTGCCTTTATCTGCATACTTTTCTGATATAGGAACCTTACAGTTGTGTCATCTCTTGTATACGGACTTGATCTGTAAAAAGGGCGTACCCAGTGCAGAGAGCTCCCGCTCTGTGCGGGGTCTGGGGAAGGGTGTAAGTGGCAAGCCTTACCCTCGCCTGTGCAATGCGAGGAGACCATGACTCGAACCCGGGACCTTCCGATCACAGGCGGTAAGACTCTACCGCTTGCACCAGGCCCGCCCTTCACGGACTTGATCTGTGACACCTTTATTTTGTTCTTTAAATGCTTACGGTTGTCACAAGCTACCAAAGGGAAGCGTGTCTGATTGGCATATTATTTAGTCAACTCTGGGTATGTGCATTTTAGCTAAGCATATTGGTGCATCTCTGTCCTTAATTATACATCAATAAAAGATCAAGCATTATAGCGTTTGGGAAGTTGGGGTTGTAAATTGAGTCACTGAGCTCCTCCACCTGGTTCCATAGTTCCTGTCGTTTTGGACAACGACACAGTCTTCAATAATTGAGTGTGATAGCATGCAGACAAATGTAAATGAACTACAACTATTTACCCCTTCAAGCTGCCTACTTAGGGTCCGTGCTTCGTTTGCATGCTTGCCTGATGTTGGAATTTTACAGTCGCGTCATCTCTTATGTACCATTTACCAAAAAAGTAAGGAGCTTGATCTGTGATGGTTTGTGTTTCCTTCTTTAATGGTAAGGGTTGTCGCAAGCTGCTAAAGGGAAGGGGTGTTTGATTGGCATGAAAATTATCTAGTCAACTGCGGATAGGTACATTTTGGCCAAGTGGTACAACTTGTGTCCTTCATTATACAGCCAATAAAAGAACAGGCATCGTAGTACTTGGGATTATGTAAGTCTGTCCTTCATTATATAGCCAATAACAGAGCAAGGTTATAGAACTTGGGATTGTAAATTGAATCTCTGAGATCTTGACTGCCACAGTAGCTAATGAGGACAGCCTACATCCTGCAGCCCTGCACCTACTGTAAATCATTACTAGCTAGTCAATAGCCATGGGGCATGGCTTCAATTATTCAGTACCACTGTACCAGGTGATTCCACATCGGAACTGTATTGGCATGAATGTGTTAACCTCTATTTGGTTGATTCAGCTCATTAGAATTATGTGATATCACAATGCAAGCACCGTCAGTATAGAAGTTAGAGAAACCATTTGTGATTGATAAATACACAACTATCATTTGCCAGGAAAATAAAAGCACCTATGTGATTCACGAGAGCATGGGACCCTTCCCCATTGGAAGTGTGTTGGTACTAAAAAAACATCTGTTGACAGAAAAAATACCGACCTTCTGTCGCCTGAAGGACTAAAACTCAGTTTTTCTCTTATGTGATTTGGATTGTTGTTGTTTTACTACATCTTTCAGCATATTCCTTCCATTGTACATATACTTTATTTTGGTTTGTTAATGCCACAATCGACTAGCTTAATTCAATCATTTATTTTGGGCTTTTCTATGATATCGGTGAACATCAATCATAATGTAGTTTGTAGTGTGCTAGAACAGTAGACACGGTTCACCTCGTGTCTTGTATTGGTAGCAGAACGAACTGGCTGCTTTCTGATTTTAACTGTCAGTTCGCTAACGTATGTCAAGTCTACACTTGCAGGCACGTTCAAGCTGACTCTGCAATTTACAGAAGATTACCCCAACAAACCTCCAACTGTTCGGTTTGTTTCGAGGATATTTCACCCAAACAGTATGTTCTCTTTAGATGTTAAGGAACTAAATTATCCTCATATATTGACACCTGAATACATTGACAATAAGTGGTTTAATACCATTTTTTTTTCAGTCTATGCAGATGGAAGCATCTGTTTGGACATCCTACAAAACCAGTGGAGCCCTATATATGATGTTGCGGCAATATTGACCTCCATTCAGGTATTGCTCATTTTGTCACTCAACCTATCATGTTGAAATAACCCCCATTTTGTTCTATCACTGCCTGTCTATTGTATTGCTCTAATGGATTATTGTGTCCAGTAGAAAGGTCATGCGATTGGTCCCACCTAACTGAATTGACATTGTTATAATTTCACTTGCCATATGGTTTTGGAATAAATACTCCAGTTCCATACGAACAGTGAAAGAAAGAAAATGGTTTCCCCCATTACCTGACGTCACTAGATAAAGGTTGGTCACAAGCCATCTAGTCCCTCCATTCCGAATTGCTGACTTTTCTATGCACAATAGCTTGTGCTACACACCTAGATATACGTCATGTCTAGATACATAGTAAAAGATTACAATTTTGGAACGGAGGGAGTATATTTTATTGATTCCGTAATTGAAGTGGTTGACCAAACCACCAGTATATGTCCACATGGGCAACATGCCTCCAATAAGTACCCAGCAATGTGACGTGCCAATGTCATGGTCTGTGTAGGAGGTCTAGGATCGCTCCTCGCCATCCTTGACGGTGACACTGTTTGTAACAAACTACATCCTTTCCTCTTAATGAAACACATGCTTTAAATTTGCGGAAAAAAAGTACCCAGCAATGCAAATGCTTTCCATTGTTTGATCCTAATATGGAAGTAGGACCTATCCATTTTATGGTTGTTTTGTGAATTTATATTTATATTTATTTATATTGGTCACACCAGTTCCAAAAGGTAGTTTTGGGACATCGGTACTCAACAAATCAAAATGATGTACTGATTTCTTTTTGCCTTTCCTTTGCAGTCCCTGCTGTGTGACCCAAACCCAAATTCTCCTGCTAACTCTGAAGCAGCCAGAATGTTCAGCGAGAACAAGCGTGAGTACAACCGCAAAGTCCGCGAGGTTGTGGAGCAGAGCTGGACAGCCGACTAAAACTTTATCCGCTTCGCCAGATGGTGTAAATAAGCACCTGCCTTTCCTGCTTCGTCAGTCTGTATTATCGGCTTAAACCGTTAAAAATCCTCAGCTACTGTTGTGTTCATGTGGTTCAGTCCCCTGTTGTACTGTTGCCTGCCGGTTTTCCTAATGTAGTTGTGAACGGTTTCATGAACTCCAATATTGGTGCTATTGTAAAAGATATATAGCTAAGCCAAGTTGATGCTAGGTTTGCAGAAACATCATATGCTTCTTTCTCGCTGCACGAACCGGCCTCTCGCGAGGTGCTCCTGTGGAGGTTGTTCGTCCTGTTTGTTCATGTCCCTAAACCCTAAATGGTGGCTCCAGCAGTAGTTACGTGGTGATCACAAAATTCAGAACGTAGAAGGCAATGCCTATTACATCATTATTGTGTTACCAATCACACCATTATTGCACTCATAGATAGGGATATGATGATATAAAAGAAAAAGGAGCGAAAAAAAGAACTCTACAGTGGCACAACGCACACTAGTCTGTGTGTGCACCACGGGGAGGGGAGAATTTTCAGTTGAGCGGATCCTGCTGGGGGCTGCAGCATCTCATCAGAGACACGCTGTAGGCTGGCCAGCGTTTCCATCTTCAGATCATGCGACCGCTTTACTGGAGATTGGAGAAGCACCTGATCATCTGCTCAAGTGTAGCCGGGTCGACCTGGTGGCCCTGGACGACGACGACACTGGGCTTCCTCCGCTGCTGCTCCAGGCATCCACCTCCCAGTCGTCCTGCACCTGGGCGGCGAACTGCAGGTTCCATAGCACGTCCTCCACCGAGGGCCGCTGCGACGCCTCCTTGGCCAGGCACCTCTGGCAGATCTCCATGACCGTCCTCAGCGATTCGTCCGAGCACCCTTTGCTCACCACGGGGTCTGCGAAGCTCCTCCTCCTCACCCGGTCCTCGTCGGCAATCGCCCATGCCAGCTGCAGTCATATTGAGGGAGGCTCATTCAGCTGACCGACCCAGTGCAATGCCACTAGCTAAGTTTTACGTTGTCAGGTAGAGAGATAGTGATGGTACCAGCTCTTTCAGTATCTCCACTTCATACATGGATGTGATGGTCTTCCCAGACACAACCTCAAGTAGGATCACCCCGAAGTCAAAGATGTCTGCCTTATCGCTCTTCATACGACTGTAAAAAGCAAACCATGTTGTGATTAGTCACATATCACACTGATTGAAACCGGGCTGGACGGTAGTGTAAGACTGCCATTTTGGGAACTCCTACCTTTCAGTTTGGAACTTGTTTCCAGCTCCTCCCTGCTCGGATTTCATGGCCTCTGCTAGGATCGGGATGTTGTAGCTGCCGATCTTGGCGACATGGTTCTGATCCAGAAGGATGTTCGTGATCCTCAGATCATTTCCAACTAGGCCAGGTATGATACCTCCGTGCAGGAACTGGATACCCTTGGCGACACCGATGGTGGCCGATATCCTCTGCGACCAGGTAAGCCTGCACCCTTCAGTTCCTTCTGTTGAAACAAATTCAGTTCAGAAAGCAACATGTCAGTAACATTCAGTTGATTGCACTGTCAGAGCAGCAAGCAAAAAGAACCGGAAGCTTACGCGAGATCCTGCTCCTCAGGTTCCCATTCTGCACGTACTCGAACACGATGTACAGCTGGGTCACAGTGGACTCATCGAGATCGTACTCAAAGCAGTGTCCCAGAGCGCTGACCAAGTTCTGATGCCTGAGCCTGGAGATCGTCTCGATGTGGCGGTTGATGCTCTGGGTAGTCTGGCTCCTCTTCATCTTCAGAGTCCTGATCGTCACTGGCGTGCCATTGCCTAACCTTCCTCGGTACATCTGTCAGTAAAAACAAGAAATGTTTATGTTACATGTGCTTCCATGGTGTTCCAAAAGAAAACTTTTTGAAAGATTTTCCAATGAAAACTTAATGATCACGTATTCACTTTAGGTAGCTGATGAACATAATTGGAGCAGGTGACGGTAAACTGCATGCATCAGATGTCCTAGTTCTGAGTTGACAGTGAATTGAGCAAGAAGACGACATCATACCTCGCCGTGAGAGTCTTGTCCCAGCAGGTGAGAGTTTTCAAAGTTATTGGTTGCAGCTTCAAGCTCGACCAAAGAGAATGATCTGTATGATGGGATCCCCAGGGCTCCCAGCTTCACCGTCTGTGATATGTATCCTTTTTTTGTTTCAAATTACCAGAGAAAAACTGAAGTTATTAGCGATTGCAAAATCATCAAAATGAAATGCCAAAGAAGCAATTTTTATTTGTGCGCAAGAACTCGAGATCATACGTGCATCAGCGAGCAGCTTGGAAGGGTAGCCAATCGAAGAATTTTCTTCCTCCGAAGCTGTGGGAGCCCTCGACTCCGAACCTTTCATGGCTTGCCTCCTCACAGCGAAGAAGACGATGAGACCGACAGCCGAAATGGCGACAAGGATCGCCATCACAATGCCGGCCACGAAGCCTGCATGGCTTGCGATGTTCTTCTTCTCCTTGCCGGGCAGTATCCCCACGGCCAGGGCCTGGTTCTGGCAGAACGGTGACGGGTGCTGTGAACCGTCGCTGTCATCCAGGCAGTTGGTGGACACGAGCACCACCGTGTCCGGCTTCCTGTCCGGTGACCTCAAGCAGGTCGGCACGCTCCCCATGAGGAGGTTCAGCGACAGGTCGACGAACCGGAGGTTGTCGCCGCACGGCGCCTTGTCGGACAGAGTCCCGGTGAACCTGTTGCCGGCGATGTTCAGGTACCGAATGGACGGCAGGGAGAGCAGCGCCGGCGCGAACGGCCCGACGAAGCGGTTCCACGACACGTCCAGCCGCTCCAGCAGGTAAAACGAACCCAGCTCCGGCGGGAGGCCGCCGCCGAACCTATTCCTGCTCAGCACCACGGTGACCACCTTCCTCCCGAGCCTGGGGAACGCCGGCCCGAGCGAGTTGCCGCCGACGTCGAGCACCTGGAGGTTGCTCTGCCGGCTCATGTCCGGCAGGTTCCCGGACAGGTTGTTCGACGCGAGCACGAGCGACCGCAGCGACGGCGCGCTCCCGAGGGACTCCGGCACAGCGCCCTGGAACGTGTTGTTCCGCAGGCTCAGCACGGCCAGCGACGGCAGAGCGCCGATCCAGTCCGGCACCTCGCCGCCCAGCATGTTGTCGTCGAGGACCAGCGTCTGGAGGGCGACGAGGCGCGACATGCCCCTCGGGACCTCGCCGAAGAGGTAGTTCCCGCTCATGTTGACGATCTCCAGCGAGGCGAGCCGGCCGAGCTTGCCCGGCAGGGGGCCCCAGAGTCCGAGCCCGGACAGCGTGAGCACCTTGAGGTCGGGGAGCCTGGACAGCGTCGTGACGACGGCCCCGATGGAGAAGTTCCGGGGCAGAGGCGGCGCGCCCGCGGCGCCTGCGATGTGGAGCTGCGTCACGGTGTCCCCGTAGCACAGGACGGCGGCCGTGCCCGTAGGCCCCATGGAGCCGCCGGCGCCGCCGCAGAAGTCGGTGCTGCGGCGCCAGTGGCTGACCATTGGAGGGCTGTTCAGGAGCTGCTGGATCTTGATCAGAGTCCATACCTGCGAAGGCTGGAGCTGCGTGGTCTCCTGGATCAATGCAAGAAACACCGGGAAGAAGAAGATGAGCCGGAGATGGTTCGGCCTCGCCATTGTAGAGGATTTCTCGACCAAGAAACACTGCGTGGTTACTGCTTCGCTATGCTCTTTATAGAGAAACACGAACGACAGGAGCACAACAAGCTTATCAGCGAAGCTGGGGCTGTCTTTGCCTGATCTTGTACCGGTTTCTCCTGTATCCGAGAACAGTGACAGCATCAGTAGAATGAACAGCCAAACGTGGGTAAATACGAGGAGAAGAAAACATCATCAGGAAGCAAAACTAACGATAACGAGCTCATCTCCCACTTGGTCAGCAGCAGTAGAAATGAGAGAAGCTAAAGCTCAAAGGTTTAAAGATAGGATTAATTGGATTCATGCCATTACAAATTCTACGTTTTAGAAATACCATTATTATTCGTCTATTTAAAAACATATCATTATAATTCATAGTCTACTTGAACATGCCATTTTATACGCTCAGGACGTTGTTGTGTCCACCTGCATGTCAACGTAACTTAGTATCGTCCAAAAGTAACCCTTTCTTCGCCCTCTCTTCTCTGCTGATGGTGGCCCAAACCGTCAGATCAATCTTCTTCCTCTCTGTCTCTCCCGTGCACACTCTGCCCATGCCGCCGCCAGCCGCGCTCGCCCCTCCCGCGGTGTCCACCCGCAGTCTCACCGCCAACCGCGCTCGTCTCTCCCGCCGGCGGCCCACCACCATGGGGACGAGCGGGGCACCACTGCCGAGCAGGGCCTCGATCGCGCACCTCGCCGGTCGCACTGTCGCGTACAGCGTACTCGTCAGCGCATCTCGTCGTCTCCTTTATACTGAGTCAAGATCCTACAAGAAGCTAGCCAAAACAGAACTCGATCCATGTGGGCACTATAATATATCTCTACTAATGCCTAGAAGACAAGCAACGAGCACCGAGCAAAAAAGCTGCCACTCGGTGGCGGCGACCACGTCCAGCAATACCATCGCATTGAACTTGAGCGCATCCACGAGCGCCTCCACGGCCTCAAGCAGGGGCACGAAAACCTCGGCCCGAGTGGCAGCGAGCTTCTTCCGCAGCGGGTAGCACATCCCCCTCACGGCCTCACATCCCCCTCACGGCCTCACATCCCCCTCGCGGCGGGCCCAAGGAAGCACGGCACGCCGTCCCGGGCGGCGGCAGGCGCGGGCGAGTGGAGAGGCGAGGAAGAGGGCAGCGTGAGCGGCGGACGCGCCCGCATCCACGCAGCAGAGGAAGTGCGCCAGGACCTTAGAGTCGCGGAGGCACGTGAACGCGCCTGGGCGGTGGAGGTGGTGCGGGCTGGCGCTGCCCACGAACTGCTGGTGTGGGGCCACGGGGCCAACGAGCACCTGCACGACAGCAGGGCCAGCGAGCCGCGCGGACACCAACCCGGCAGTGGGGCTGGCAAGCGGCACAGACGAATGTGGGTGCAGGAGCGGGAGGAGATGGGTTCCGCCATGGCCATGCCATGGGAGAAAGAGGAAGAAGATGGATCTGACGGGTGGGGCCCACTGTCAGCAGAGAAGAGAGGAAGAAGAAAGGGTTACTTTGGGCAATACTAAAATACGGTGACCTGCATGCGGACCCAACTTTATCCCGAATGTATAAAATGGCATGGTTTAGGCAGACAACGAATTATAATGACATCTTTTCAAATAGACAAACGGTAATGGTATTTTTCAGAAACGCAGAAGTTGTAATGACATGGATCCAGTTAACCCAGAGGCAAAGAAAAAGAGAAGCCGAGCAAAGCTGCTGCCTGATTGGAAGTTGAGACAGCTATCGGACGCCAGAAAACAGTGAGCAAAGTGGATTCATCAAATCTCCAAGGACCTGAGCACAACTGACTCGCGAGTAAACAAGCAGTTCCTCCAAATGCGTAGAGGAGAAAGCAATGAGAACCCCTGCTGCTACCCAGTTGCAAAGAATCTCACAGAATACTCGCTACCACTTGGCGCCAAGATCGTCAGTAGTGCTTTCACAAGAAAACCGTGAAACGAAGTGAATGTCACCTTGCAGTGCAGTCGCCGAAGCAGTTGGCGATGAAGGAGCCAGCCAGGAAACCCAACCTTCTTCGGAGCTCAGATCAATGGTGAAGACATCAGAACAACAACGGATAGACGACCGTCGGAAGAACGGGCTTCGTGCTGTCTGTGCTCGCTTGCCTTGCCGGTGCTATATGCGCTGCTGTAGCGCTCGCTCGGTCAGTCACTGACAGAGCTCACTCGGCGAGTGTCGCCTAGTAGTGCTGCGGCGCAGAGCATCACGGGGGTGGCAGAGGAAGAGGCGCTGGAGCAACGGACAGGTGGTGTCTCCAAAGCCTGAGGCCCCGTTTAGATTCTGCAGTTCCATGGATTTGGAATTTGGGTTTACTGCATTCGTTTTATTTAATAATTAGTGTTCAAACATGGATTAATTAGGCTCAAAACGTTCATCTCGCAATTTTCCACCAAACTGTGCAATTAGTTTTTTTTTTTTCATCTACATTTAATGCTCCATGCATAGGCCGTAAATATTCGATGTGACAGGTACTGTAGCAATTTTTTTGAGATTTTGGGGTGGAACTAAACAAGGGCTAAAAAATTTTGCGCAGTATCCGTCACATCGAATCTTACGACACATGCATAAAGTACTAAATATAGATGAAAAAAAAAACTAATTGCATAGTTGGATGAGAAATCGCGAGACGAAACTTTTAAACCTAATTAGTCTATAATTAAACACTAATTACCAAATACAAACGAAAATAATACAGTAGCCAAAATCCAAAAATTTTTGGATTAAACGGGGCCTGAGCTGGACACGGGGAGAGCCGGAGAGGGGAGCAGACAACGGACAAGGGATGGCATGGCAGTCAGGCAGTCCAGTAGTGGTAGTGGTCAGTGCTCTCCCTGTCACGAACACACATAGGACCTGTTTGGTTCTTTCTCTCCTCCTAAAGTTTCTGTCACATCAAATGTTTGGACATATATATAGAATATTAAATATAGATTAATTATAAAACTAATTGCACAACTTGCGACTAATTTGCGAGACGAATCTTTTAAGCCTAATTAGTTCCATGATTTGACAACGTTGTACTACAGTAAATATGTGCTCATTATAGATTAATTAGACTTAAAAAATTCGTCTCGAAAATTAGCCTCCATCTATGTAATTGGTTTTGTAATTAATTTATATTTAATGCTCTTTATTAGCCTCTAAACATTTAATGTAACATAAATTTTAGAAACGACTAAAGAACCAAACACCCTCGTACTATCGCTCTCTTTATGTTGGCAGCGATTTTTTTTTTAAAGGAGCAGATTATTGTGTGATGCTTCTCTGCTTTCTTGGGATTAGATTCTCTTCTTTCTTAAACCGTGCTGCTTTAGTGAGGCTTCAAGTAGTATCATGGGTGTTTGATTCTACCTCCTAAATTTTAGTCGTCGTCCCATTAAATATTTGATACACGCATATAGTATTAAATATATGCCTTGTTTAGTTGACAAACTTTGAATGGGTAAAGTTGACAAAATATACTGTAGCATCACTGTAGCATTTCGTTTGTATTTGATAATAATTGTTCAACCGTTGACTAATTAGGCTCAAAATGTTCGTCTCGCAAAGTACAACTAAACTATACAATTAGTTTTTAATTTCGTCTACTTTTAGTATTCCATGCATGTACCGCAAGTTTGATGTGATGGGGAATCTTCTTTTTTCATAGTGCCAAAGTTGGGAGTTTGGGAGAAACTAAACAAGGTCATAGACTATTTACGAAACTAAATGCACAGTTTGCGACTAATTTGCGAGACGAATCTTTTAAGCCTAATTAGTCTATGATTTGACAATGTTGTACTACAATAAATATGTGCTGATGACAGATTAATCAGGCTTAATAAATTCGTCTCGCGTATTACTGATGGATTCTGTAATTTTTTTATTAGTATCTAAACATCACGTACGATATTCTTACGTGACACCTCCTACACTTTAGTCGATGGATCAAACACACCTTTATTGTAGGGAACCTTTCGCTTTGACAATGACACTGATGTCGCCCTTTGCCATCCATGCTCTCAGGAACGTACTGCGTCTCACAACGTGTCCTTTTTTAACTACAGATGAATGATGATAACCAGCTAGTCCTGAACTACTTCCTAAGAAGTAAGAACTGCGACAGTACTACTACTAGACGTTTGGACCGACACGACGCCATTATTGCACAGTGAGGCAAGGCACCATACTTTCCTCAGCTGTATGATGAGCATGGCTTCTACTATTTTTCTCGTGCTTTTCTCCTCTTTTCTTCGTACGCTTCCTTGGCCGGGCGCTCTTTAGTCTTTACACTACACCAGGAGCTGCCGAGCTGGGGGCTGGGGCTGTCCGGTCCTCGACGCTTTGCCGAAAGCGCCGAGGCAAAAGCGTGCCTGCCCGTATTCACGCCGTGGGATGGGAGGATGCAGGATGCAAGGGAGTGGAATGCACTGCACTGCACTGAAACGTTTGAGCCGAAGAACTGCAGAGCGCCCTGATGTTCGGGAGATGTTTGTGGAGGTGAATGCGAAATGAATGCTCGTCATGACAGATAAATGACACCATTCAGCTAACTTGGGCCTGTTAGTTAGGACGGTGTCCTCCTGCTTGGGCAACATAGCAACAGAAACTCTCGTCTCCAGAGTTCAGACAGGATGCTGCAGATCAGGAGCAAGTGTTGTTGGAACTGAAGAGCCGGTGACGTGCCCGGCAGTCATCACGGAACTGTGGTCCTTGTGGACTTGTGGTGGAGCAACGTGCATGTGCACATGTTAATTAATACACGGGACAAAAATCCGAGTGAAAATTGCAAGTAGCATTTACCAGCACTTTTTGTAGCGGAAAAGATTAGCGTTATCATTTGCTACGTTCAATTCGTTCGTTCATTAAAAATGCTTAGCTATTTAGTATTACTACTAATGTCCTATACATTTTGATCAGTAGTTCTCAAAGAGTAAAGGAAAGAAAAGGAAATGCCAGCCAGATTGACTATCTTTTGCAGAGAAACCTGAAAAAAACCTTTTTTGCGTGCCATGCATGTCTGCCTTTTCCAATTTTTTTGAGCACCAAAACCCCCAAACCCAAAGGCAACGGCATATATGGCCTACAGCTACAAGAAAAAGGAAGAGAGAGCATCACGCACGATGTACAACTACCGGCTGACGCTCTTTAATCTCACAAGCATTACTATCCTGATAAATTCTCATCGACCAGACAAGCCTACCATGCTTGCTTAATTGCTGCTAGCTGCCAACGTTTCTCTCTGTTAAACCTGTTTATCACTGGCAAAACAGAGGAAAACCCAACCAGAAGAAAGTACCCACAGACAAGCAAACCGATGGGCAATGGCCTACAGCTCTGCACTACACCACACCACCAAAGTTTGCGATGCAAGCAAGAGCGGCCGGATCGGAGCCCACTGTTGCTCCATGTGTGAGTGAAGCGAAGAACTGGTGACGGGGGGTGACTGGTGTGAGTGCGTGCTGGTTTGTCGAGACGTACAATTACGTGAGTGCCCTGCCCGCGCGAGTCCATCGCCATCGGCCTCGGCCCGTCCGTCAGTCGTCAGTCGGCACACGTAGTACACGGTACACCGTACGCACGCCATTACGGGCGCCGCCGTTCCTTTCGCTGAAAAAATCAGCCGAAACACTATTCTGACTAATTTGTTGTGAGAGAAAAAATATTGTTCCGACTAAAACAACAAGCTAAAAAGTACAGATTATAAGATAAGCGAGCATGCCACTGTCGCTCGCCGCGCCGTTGGTGGCGATCCGGCCCGCGCCATTACTACTCCGCCGGTGATCCACGCATGCGATGGAGCCCCGCCGCCCCGGCCGGACCCGGAGGCCATAGCAATAGCATGCATGCCAGCCGGCGGTGAGCTTCCGTAGCATCCAATCCAAGGGTCCGCCGGGCCGTGAACGGACGACGCCATGCATGGCCGATTAATTCCCCGGAGCGCGGAGTAAATTCGGCCGCAACCGCCCTAGTACGCAAGTACGCACGTCCCGCCCGTGTCGCCCCGACACGGCCATCAAGCCTCCAGGCC